TCTCTCTCAGAACTATCTTCTTGACCCTAACCAGTGAGGTTTCAAGTCGGGTCACTTAACCGAGACTGCTCTTCTCTGTGTCACGGAGGCTCTCCGCACTGCCAAAGCTGACTCTCTCTCCTCTGTTTTCATCCTCCTAGATCTATCCGCTGCCTTTGACACCGTGAACCATCAGATCCTCCTCTCCACCCTCTCAGGGCTGGGCGTCTCAGGCTATGCACACTCTTGGATTGCATCCAACCTGGCAGGCCGCTCCTACCAGGTGACGTGAAGAGGATCTGTGTCTGCACCACGTACCCTCACTACTGGAGTCCCCCAGGGCTCGGTTATAGGCCCTCACCTCTTCTCTCTATACATCAAGTCACTCGGCTCCGTCATATCCTCACATGGTCTCTCCTATCATGGCTATGCGGATGACACTCAACTACTTTTATCCTTCCCCCTTCTGACACCCAGTTGGCGACACGGATCTCTGCGTGCCTGGCAGATATCTCAACTTGGATGTTGGCCCACCACCTAAAGCTCAACCTCGACAAGAAGGAACTGCTCTTCCTCCCCGGGAAAGCCTGCCCGCTCAAAGACCTCTCCATCACCGTTGACAACTCCACAGTGTCACCCTCCCAGAGTGTAAAGAACCTTGGCGTGACCCTGGACAACACCCTGTTGTTCTCTGCAAACATCAAAGCAGTGACCTGCTCCTGCAGGTTAATGCTCTACAACATCCATAGAGTACGACCCTATCTCACACAGGAAGCGGTGCAGGTCCTAATCTGCCCCTCACTACCTTCAGGCTATGCTCAATCCCTACACCCCAAACCGAGCACTCCGTTCTGCCACCTCAGGTCTCTTGGCCCTCCCATCCCTACGGGAGGGCAGCTCCCGCTCAGCCCAGTACAAGCTCTTCTCTGTCCTGGCACCCCAATGGTGGAACCAGCTTCCCCCTGAAGCTAGGACAGCCTATCTTCCGAAAACATCTGAAACCCTACCTCTTCAAACAGTATCTTAAATAATCCTCCTCCTCACCTCGACCCCCCCCCCCCCCCCCCCCCCCCTTGCACTTGACTGCTCCCACTACGTTTTCCTAATGGAAACCCTGGTGTGCATTTGTCTGTGATGAACCCCCATGCTGAGGGACATGTATGGCTCTGTAGCAGTAGACACACAGCTAGTCAGGCTAGTCTGCATGCCTGTACTGTGTTGTGATGTAATAGTTGTGTGTGTGTGTGGTGTGGTGCTGCCATCTGTCTCTGGTTGCTGTGGTGTGCTGGGCAAGGCACTGGTCAGTCGAGAGGGCACCACTACTGCTGGGAAGCACTGCCACCCTTCCCTGCTCTCACACAGTCAGAGAGACTCCTTACCAAAACACCTTGCAAGTTTCCAGCTTTCACTCATGCGCACACACACCCACGCACGCCCGTACACACACACACACACACACACACAATTTGCCCATTCTCACTTTATATCAAAGTTCCATCACTCATCAAATCAAATCAAATTTTATTTGTCACATACACGTGTTTAGCAGATGTTATTGCGGGTGTAGCGAAATGCTTGTGCTTCTAGCTCCGACAGTGAAGTAATATCTAACAATTTCACATTATATACCCAATACACACAAATCTAAGTAAGGAATGGAATTTTAGAATATATACATATATGGACAAGCAATGACAGAGTGGCATGGACTAAGATACAGTAGAATATAATGTTCTCAGTTGTAGTACTTTAATGAAAGACCACAGTGCTGTGTGTAATCATATGTGTAGCCAGTCCTTAGAGCTGGGGAGGCAGCCAGCCAGAGTCTGTAGGGAGCTGTGTGCCAGGAGTGGAGACCACTGGGGAGCTCGTGATGGAGGATGAGAGGAGAGGGAGGAAGAGAAGGAGGATGAGAGGAGAGGGAGAGAGGGAGGAAGAGAAGGAGGATGAGAGGAGAGGGAGGAAGAGAAGGAGGATGAGAGGAGAGGGAGAGAGGGGAGGAGAGAAGAGGAAGGAGAGGAGAGGGGAGAGGAGGGAGGAAGAGAAGGAGGATGAGGGAGAGGAAGAGAGGAGGATGGGAGAGGAAGAGGGAGGGAGAGGAGGGAGGAGAGAAGGAGGATGAGAGGAGAGGGAGAGAGGGAGGAAGAGAAGGAAGGATAGAGGGAAAAGGGAGAGGAGAGGAGGATGAGAGAGAGGGAGAGAGGGAGGAAGAGAAGGAGGATGAGAGAGGGAGGAAGAGAAGGAGGATGAGAGGAGAGGGAGAGAGGGAGGAAGAGAAGGAGGATGAGAGAGGGAGGAAGAGAAGGAGGATGAGAGGAGAGGGAGAGAGGGAGGAAGAGAAGGAGGATGAGAGAGTCTACAAGGTAGACTATAGTATTAGCAGGGATGACAATGTACAATGTGTGTGAATCATGGCCAAGGTCGGCTAGCTAGAGGAGAGGTAGAGGATGCTATAACTGTACTCCAACCTGGCTCTGTCCAACCCGCTACTCGACTCTCCATACCTATGCTCATTCACTGCAGGTGCTTTTGCTCTGTCCATCCATCTCCCCCTATCCCTCTCGCTCTCTCGCTCTCTCTCGATTTGAAACCCGTTCCGGTTGTCAGGGAGATGTGATTTATATAATTAATGAGAAGTCATTTGATTGCACATTTTTCTTTCAATGAGCAAACGAGCTGCTGAAACAATACACTGATGAATGAATGACATTTGTATTATCAGGGTTGTTCCACAAAAAGAGTGCCTTTTGATATTTAAAGTAGAAATTCTGCACCAATTTTGAATTTTAAAAGCCTTGTATATTAAATGAAGTGCCCTTTTTAATATAGACCACATGGTAAAGTGCCAAAATGCAGTATTTTAACATGTGCCTCTGTAAACCCTGTGCCACTTCTAGGAATATTTCAACCCATTTAATCCCTACATTTCTCCAAGTTTCACCATTATTATAAAGCCCTAGTCATTTTGTTGCTTTAAAAAAGTAATTTCTGAAGATGAAATTAATTATCATGTGAATAGTGATTCATTTACGTGTGTCCCTCATTTTAAGGTCAACCCTGTTATGTTTTAATGTGGTGAAACTATTCCATTTTAAATATTATTTTCAAATGAAACATTGAACATCTAATAGTCAAATCATAGTGTAAAAGCAGGTGAGCTGGTTCTACTCTTTTTGGCCATTTTCTGGTGTTTCGTGGTGGAATACTGAGCGGGTCAAGCGTAACACGTCAACCTTGTAACACATAGATAGTCAGGCTAGAACTGTTTTAGCAATTCATTTTCTTTTGTGAAGCTTCCATTCTCCCTGTCACGAGGGGATTTATGGCTGATTTTTAAGATGAAATCGTCAACCCTGTTACGGTCAACCCTCTTACTTGATTTGGCACCTACTATAGTCTTTTTAACATTTATTTTACCTCTTGAGATGGGAAAACGTGTTTTTTATGAAGTTGAACATGTGCTCTTTGTGACAGAATGTTAAAATTAGTTGAAATATATTATTTTGTTTTACCAATTTGCACTTCGCAAAAGGCACAGAATTGGTGGAACGAGCCATCACTGTTTATAAGCGTGTATTCATTACAGCTAATGCTCTTCTAATGCTGCTATAATCATCCACTAAATGAGTGTAATCAAGCAGAATTTCAGTGTAATACTTGCTACAGCAGCTGAGAAATGTCAGAATGTCATTGTTTCTTATTGACCCGAGTCTAAGAATGGAAGTATTTAGTGGAGTTTGCAGGGTTTTAAAGTTCCCTGTTCTGGCTATGGTCTATTAAGGCTCATGGTTGTGAGCATCAACCTTCAACCTAATCATTATAAGCTCCATAATGCATATAAATAATGCATACAACATTATATTGATATTAGGCAGAATGATCATAATAGGAATGTTGACTGTTGTGTTTCTTGTGCTTTCAGGTTGTGTTTTAAGGAGAGGAGGCGGTGAAGTCGCGTGGAGGAGAAACAGTTACTCTTGGGTTACAGACCTGGAGTAAGGCTTGGCTCAGTACACCAGAGGAAACCAACCCTTCTCTCAGAGGATCCTATTCTTCAACACAGTAATACCCTACCGAGGACTCAGGACCATTGACTGTTATCATCAGTGACTGTGCAAACCCATTGACAGACAGACAGACAGACACCCATCTTTTACCACTTATTTAATCCTAAAAGGACACACTATATAGGGAGACCACAGGGTGAGAATGTTGACTTGTTAGACCCCCACTGGGCTATAGACAGAGCCCTGCTCTGCTTTTCAAACCCACTCACTGTCCCTTCCCTGGAGAAAAAGGCTTACTTAGCATCTAACACTAGCAGGGCGTGCTGTGTGTCACTTTCACATTCAGCACCATTGATCCACTGACCCCCCTCTGATCTGATTAGCCTTCTAGCCTCTCTTATTGTTTACACATACATACACACACACACACACACACACACACACACACACAGGCGCTGTCAGCTCGTTCACACACCTGCGTCTCGCCTGGCTGTGATTACCATCCACTACAGACAAGACCTGGGTATATCCCATCTGCACACCATTAGCCCCCATTGAGGGAGCTGGGTAGTACTACTAGTACAGTACCCTGTTGCCCTGTGCTGTGCTGTACTGCTGTGCTGTGCTGTACTGCTGTGTTTATCCACACTGGCAGGTGCTAGTGTCATGTCCTGTCTGTCAAGGCAGATGCCTGTGTGAGAGAGTGGATACGACAAGGCTATGATAAACACATGTTCTGTTGTCGTCTACTACTGCCTACGGGTCGGTCACTGTGAGCGGAAGAGGTCCTGGTCCTGATCATACTGTCTGTCTATCACCCTGTCAGAAGGGATCAAGATCAAATCTCTCTTGAAGAAGACGCTTCATCTCAAAGAGACTGACCTGGATAAACAAAGGCTGAATAGAACATATTAGTCTGTCTGTCAATCCGTACCCCCAACTGTGGCCCTCCTCTTGCCTGCTCCCCCCACCATCCAATCTGTGTGTAAATTCTGCCGCCGGGCCCCTTGGAGGATGAGCGATGTCCCCACCCTGGACTATGAGCTGCTGCTGTCCCCCGGGCCCTCCCTCCCTGGGGCCCCCAGCAGCCCTCCTCTGGTGGGGGGCGACGCGGAGCAGAGGACGGCCTTCGCCTTCGTGGGGCTCCTCATGCTCTTCCTGGTCTTCCTGCTGGTGCGCTGCTTCCGCATCCTGCTGGACCCCTACAGCCGCATGCCATCCTCCTCCTGGACCGAACACAAAGAGGGCACAGAGAGGGGGCAGTTTGACTACGCCCTGGTCTAGACCTGGGTCGTGTTCATTAGGCACCAAACGGACTGAAACAGTGAGGGACTACCAGAACTTGTCCAATAAGGAAGGCTTGTTTTTGTTTTCCGTTGCACAACGTTTTGCTACGGTGTTCCCTAATGAAAACGACCCTGGTAGGGTCTAAAGGGGGCAGTTTGACTGGCCCTGCTGTAGAAACACACAAGTAGTCAGACTGGAGCTCTCAAGACCCAGACCAAGATCAGAACCCTCAAGACCCACACTGAGATCAGAACCCTCAAGACCCACACTGAGATCAGAACCCTCAAGACCCACACTGAGATCAGAACCCTCAAGACCCACACTGAGATCAGAAGCCTCAAGACCCAGACCGAGTTCAGAAGCCTCAAGACCCAGACCGAGATCAGAAGCCTCAAGACCCAGACCGAGATCAGAAGCCTCAAGACCCAGACCGAGATCAGAAGCCTCAAGACCCAGACCGAGATCAGAAGCCTCAAGACCCAGACCGAGATCAGAAGCCTCAAGACCCAGACCGAGATCAGAACCCTCAAGACCCAGACCAAAATCAGAACCCTCAAGACCCAGACCGAGATCAGAACCCTCAAGACCCAGACCGAGATCAGAACCCTCAAGACCCAGACCGAGATCAGAAGCCTCAAGACCCAGACCGAGATCAGAACCCTCAAGACCCAGACCGAGATCAGAAGCCTCAAGACCCAGACCGAGATCAGAAGCCTCAAGACCCAGACCGAGATCAGAAGCCTCAAGACCCAGACCGAGATCAGAAGCCTCAAGACCCAGACCGAGATCAGAAGCCTCAAGACCCAGACCGAGATCAGAAGCCTCAAGACCATCCTCCTTGAAACTCAGATCAAGAGGTAGAAAGGGGTTAATACTGCACTGCTGCCTTAAAACCCTATGCTGCATCTCCCCTGCTGTAGCCCCTGTAGACTGGCTAAAATGCAGGTGAAAGCTACCAAGCCATTACAAACATCCTGTGATATGGGATTACAAACAAGATCTCTTAACTACAGAATAAACCTATACATAACAGTATCTTGCAGTATTTACATCTCACCTGTTTCTGCACCTCCAGTTGATGATTTGTTATAGTATATTCAGCAGTTATGACCTTTTTAACCCATATTATTCTGACAGATTATTATTATTATTATTATTATTATTATTATTATTATTATATTACAACTGTGTTTACAGATGCAGTCACCCCTTTAAGAAACCAAACTGGTGATTTGTCTTCATAGAAATATTATTTGTTTGTTTTGTGTCTGTATAACTGAAACAAAGCCATATCTTTAGTATCTATAGCAACATGTTGTTTGGTTGCCCTTTTAGCTTTAGCCACCCTGCCAAGCTTGGCGAAAACATGTACTCTACAACTGGGACTTTATTTTTGTATTCCGACTCAAGTTTGGATGGAGTCTCCTTTTGCTAGTGTTTTCTGTGGTTTGTAGCTCTCTCAATCTTATCGTTGGACTGTGATTCTTGAGGTAGCCAGGTCTTGGGACGGGGGGAGGCAGAGCAGGCAGCTTTGCTTGCGTTTTCAAGATTTGTAAGTAGATATTTTTCCTAACTGCTTTGTTTTTCCTACGCAGGGTTTCATTCTTTGAAATAAAATGGGGTTCTTCAATTTGTTTTTCCAATTTCCTGTGTAGGGGTGAACGGTTGGAGTGGGTAGATACAGGTAATTGACAAAATAAAGGAAACGTGTGAGTAAATGAGGGATACAAAGTATATTGAAAGCAGGTGCTTCCACACAGGTGTGGTTCCTGAGTTACATCCCATCATGCTTAGGGTCATGTATAAAAATGCCCAGTTGCCCATTATTTTGGCTACCATGGCTAGCAGAAGAGATCTCAGTGACTTTGAAAGAGGGGTCTCAAAGGAGCACTGTGTGTGTGTGTGTGTGTGTGTGTGTGTGTGTGTGTGTGTGTGTGTGTGTGTGTGTGTGTGTGTGTGTGTGTGTGTGTGTGTGTGTGTGTGTGTGTGTGTGTGTGTGTGTGTGTGTGTGTGTGTGTGTGTGTGTGTGTGTGTGTGTGTGTGTGTGTGTGTGTGTGTGTGTGTGTGTGTGTGTCTGTGTCTGTGTCTGTGTCTGTGTCTGTGTCTGTGTGTGTGTCTGTCTGTCACTAGATCGCAACCCAATTGAACACTTATGGGAGATTCTGGCCACCTTCAACAAAACACCAAATTATGGAATTTCTTGTGGAAGAGGGGTTGCATCCCTCCAGTAGAGTTCCAGACACTTGTAGAATCTATGCCAAGGCGCATTAAAGCTGTTCTGGCAGCTCATGATGGCCCAATGCACTATTAAGACACTTCGTTGGTGTTTCCTTTATTTTGGCAGTTACCGTTAACTCTTCCTGTAAGATCAATAAAACATATCAGCACATTAACCCACTTTAAGCACCTTAACGAAGTACTAACGGGACATTTACAGAGCTGGAAAATGAAACTCCAAGACAATCCTTTAAAAATATAACCCACAATACTTTTATTGCCATTAATGTCACTGACAAAAGTTTACAAAATGATGAGAATCACTCAGATTTGACAGATCGCAAATGTGTATACCCAATTAATGTTAGATTCGTCCCAGCATAAAATGAGAGTTTGGAAAATGAGAAAAGACTAGTTTGTCAGGGAAGTTCAGTTTTGCCCCAGTTAGAGGTATGTTATGGCTCAATGATTGTCATGGAAACCACTAGCTGGTTTCAGAGAGCTCCAGGTGTTGTCTGTCTGTGTTCTCCACACCTTCCTGAGCACCTCTAAAGAAATGACATTAGAGTTATTTTCTCCCTCAAATTCAAATCAGAACTGACCGATTGAGCGATACCAGTGAAGTTCAAGTTTGACACTGAAGCTGAGATACAGTACGCACACGCACATTTTCTTAACATGTATTGGCAAATAAAATAAAATAAATGGACAGACAAAAAAAGATAAAGTATACAAAGTTCCCATGTTCGAAAAATGGTTATGCATAAATATAGCCCAGGCTGTGGGAACAGTGTAGTAACCTTGGATGTTCAGAGAGCAAAATCATAGTTGAGCACCAGAGATAGGTTACTAGACAGAAGCCACGTTTATACCTGGTTCTAACATGCGTCCTTTGTTCTGATCTTGTCCTCATTCTGATTGTGCCCACATTATTAGACAGGTGTAGATGATTAAAAGACTAATTGTGAACTGATTTTGATCAGATCTTATAAGTGTAAACGGGCAAGATCAGGACGAAGGATGCATGTTAGCGGCAGGTATAGACAGGGCTAGGGACACTCACAGCCAGAGTGTGAGATAGATGGCCACGTTGCGTTTGCGTTGATCCTATAGGCTTGTTACAGTGTCAACTTCATGATAGAGAGACATACTGTAGAGTGGGAATGCTACTATAGCTGTGTGTTTTGGTCTCTGACACTCAATCGAATCCAGCCAGGTCCCAGATCTGTTTGTGCTGTCTTGCCAACGCCTATGGTCGTTGCATAAACTGATCTGGGATCAGGCTACTGGCAATCCGCACCCACTAACCAACAGCATTATGAGCTCAGAGACTACAGTATGAGCTGAGAAGGACAATGATAGGTAAACAGTGGTACTTTAAGGTCATGTTCTAATCTACTGCATGATCACAAAATGGATGCCACTCCAGGATTTGATTTGATCTTTTCTTTTTCTGAGCAAACAAAGCCACCAGCACTTTAAGGCATTCAATCTTGGCCAGCCTTGACGCTTTTAAAAACAACATAAAAAACATCTACATTTCACTTAAAAATATACAATTTAATTTTCAAGAAGCAAGTTTGATAATATTGGTTTTCAGCATTAAGACATTACAAAAGACAGACAAACATGAAACATAAAACCTAGTAAGAATGACACTTTTTGCAATCAAGATTCAAGACTGCAATTGTTTTTGTACAGCATGTAAGAGATGGAATTATTTAGCACCTTTTTCTCTTCGAGAAAAAAATAATAATTGTGAGCTGATGGATGCTTGTTTTCAGTGAAATGTGGTGTTCACCTGTCTTGTTCACCTGTGTATTTGTGCCTGCATTTATGTGTGTGTTCTGTAAAAATCCCAAACGTTACCTGTCTGTTGTGGTAACGTTGTTATGTACCATTGAGGTTGTTACAGTATGTTTAGTCTCCAGCTATGTTTCTCAATGGGCTGCAGTTGGTTCAGCCATCCAATAAGTTCCCACTACCAGTCAGAATGCCAACTCTCAGAAAAGCTTCAAAATAAAGTTCTTACTGAAGCCGAATCCCTCAGGACCTGTTTGCTGCATTTCTAAGCAAAATCTCCCTGATTAAATTCAAAGAGCAGTTTCAGTGCATGATATAAAACTGCAGCACCACTAGTACAATGTCCTGGCAGTCTTTTGGAGAGAGGACTTACGGCTCGAGGTAGCAATCATCCCTAACCACTGAGCTAGGATCAGAGTACCCTACCCCCGATCCTAACCTTAACCATTAGGAAGATAAAACATCTGATCCTGGACCAGTGATTAGGGGCGGCCTCTACCTCCTGTTTCTGAGACATGGTTCATGCTCAGGGACAGTGTGGCCCTCTCCTGGCCAGAGGCAGCATTACAACAGAGCTGTATGGTGAGTGGAGGACATGAGTGAGAAGCATTTAGGTAACAGAACGCGGGCAGGCAGCACATGCCATCACACCAGAGTGTCCCTGTTTACCATTGAAGACATGATTATAAACAGTATAACGATGGTGTTTTACTCCTAGAGTTGATACTATGCATGATGACCAACTCGCCATTCCTGTTAAACCTGACGTGTAAATGTTGCAGTCCTTTGTGTGAAGTTTTATGACAGTACAATACATGAAATTACACAGAATACCGAGTAGGGCGAAGCATGACCCCTAACCTCAGTGTTGTGATTTCACAGAGATTACAGACAGGCGAGGGACCGCTTGGACCACCATTCACCAACACATACCCTTAGATCTCTTTTAGCAAATCAGTGGTTCTTACCTTTCCACATCACCATAAGAAGGTTGTCCCACACACGCTCAACTCAACAGTAAAATACTCCCCCCTACTTTATAGCACATTCTTTAGCATTTCAACCTTTTTCAACCTTTGTGCATCTTCTTCCATTTCCACTTCATCCCAGTGCTTCATGGATTCGAAGGCATGAATCGATTCTTGTCAGGCATTTTGTGTGTAAAATCTAAAATGGCAGGGGTTTGTGGTCCAAACACTGCACACCTTTCTGTAATCTCCTCCAATTGTTCTCCAAGTGGAATAAAGATGTAGGATCTTAATTTGATCACTTTTTTGTTGCTGAGAATTTTCCTGCACAGCAGAAAATGCAAACTTGTATTATATTTGAGTAATTTATTTTTCTTCTAAAGATTCTAATGTCCAATTTCAGACTTGATTTGCCCTAACAAAAAAATTATCAACCCCTACAAAAATGTCCATGAATTATAATCCACATAATATTTCACATTTCCTGTTGCAGCAGGATTATTTTCCTGCTGTAGCAAACTGGCTCAAATTAAGATCTTACATCTGTAGGCGGGGTGGGTCCGGGGTGGGTAGATACAGTAAGGCGGGGTGTGGGTAGTCAGGGTAACAAATAAAATAAAATACTTGACAATTAAAAAGTGGTGGTTGGGCTGGTTGACTCAGTCTTTCAAAGCCCCCAATTAGTTGGATGGTCCTGGGGTTAAGGTCAAAGGTCAGAGGGGTCATTATAAGGTTAGTCCATGGGCGGGAAGGAGGGAGGTTAGGGAGGGTTGGAGCACTTGCAGCTCAGTGCAGGTGGATGTGCAGCTTGATGCGCAGGGCGTCTCCTATCTCTCCCAGCAGGTAGTCGCTGTCATGTTCATCTTCCAGCTGTCGGAGGCGCCGCGGCCCGAACAGTGGCAGACTGGCAATCTCCAGGCGGTAGGAGCCGGGGGGAGGTGGCTTCCTGCCCAACCTCAGCACGCTCTTCCCATTGTGGCGCTCCAGCAGGCGGAAGTGCTCGCCCTGGTTGCCGTGGGTGATGACGTAGCGCACATGGTGCTCCAGGGGCTCCAAGGCGGGCAGCAGCTCCAGCAGGGGCTCCTTGTTGTGCAGCGAGGCCAGGCTCAGGTTCATGGGGATGGACTCCTGGGTGTCTAGGCTGGCCATGCTCACCTCCTGGAGAGATGATTGAGGAGAGGTTCAGCACATAACAAAAAACATACACATACACAAAACATACACATTTATAACCTGTAGATTTGAGAAAGAGTGAGAGACCGCAAAAGAGCAGAAAAAGATAAGAGGAAAGAGAGTAGCAACAGCACCTTGAGGTTGTTGTCTCCAGCAGCGTGACGTCTGTGTCGGCCCTTCTTGCCGACATCTCCGTTGATCTTACATTCGTAGCAGGCCTCTGGAGACAGACTGTCCTCATCATCTCCCTCAGAACTAAACTGGTCCTGGAAGCCCTGGCCTGTAATACAATGACTGAGGAGACAACAGAGAGAGAGATAGATGTCAGGACATAGTACTCACATTTAGAACTCACATTCCTTAACACTGAGAGATACTCTTGTGGAGAAAATAAGTGTGACCGTTTATACAGTGTTGTGTTGTATGAGGTTCCCAGTGGCTCCAAATACATTTTTGTGCTGTGACCAACCTAAAGCTTTTGAAGTCTTTAAGATATGTATTTTTTCTCTTCACACAATAAGTGAATAAAACCAATGGTTGTAACCAAGACCAAGTTTTGAGCCATTAACCCATAAGGAATCAGCCACAAGCCTCAACCCATTTGGGAAACCCTGGTGTAAGTCAGTCAGTCAGTCAATGTAAGGCTAAGTCTCCCATCCACTCACCCCTGTCCAGCCCTGTAGTATCCTCCAGGACAGCCACACAGGTATCCTCCGTCTGTGTTGGAGCAGCCGAAGCTGCAGGGGTTACTGCCCATGGAACACTCATTGACATCCTGGCACCCGCCCCCTCCCTGCTCAAAGTCAAAACCGGACGGACACACACACTTAAAGCTGCCCAGGGTGTTGTAGCAGGAGGCCGAGCCACACACAGACGCACCCGAACACTCATTCTCATCTATAGAGAGGAGAGAGAGAGACAGAGACAGAGAGACAGAGAGACAGAGAGACAGAGAGACAGAGACAGAGAGACAGAGAGACAGAGAGAGAGAGACAGAGACAGAGACAGAGACAGACAGATTGATGGGTCAAAATTAGTAAAAGACAAGCCTAAGCACGTTGTGCACACAGTATCAGATTTTGTTGATTGATGCAGATACTTGGTAAGTTAGGTCCTGAATCGTCATTGAGAATATGACACATAGAGCACAGCTCCTATGTCTCAATACTGGGCAGTGACATATCTTGTGGCCGTATGCACCACTTAAAGCAAAAAGGGTTTAAGTAAGTGACTGGTCTTGTGACTGGTGTGTGTCTGTCCCACTTACCCACACACTGGTTCCACTGGTAGTGTTGTACATAGCCCTGAGGACAGCCACAGCGGAAACCTCCCATCATGTTCTGACAGCCGTGCTGACAGCGATGGTTACTACCACACTCATCCACATCTGAAGGAGATGTCACAGACATGGAGGTTTAAACATTCCATAAGGCATTTTGGGTTAAAACTAGCAAAAGTTGGTGGAGTGTATGTGTGTGAGCTTATGGCTGGGAGTGTGTGTGTGTTTGTCTGCATGCGTGCGTCTGTCTTACCTTCACACTCCAGGCCAGTGGTGTCCAGAGAGAAGCCTTTCCCACAGTCACAGTTGAAGCTGCCGGGAGTGTTGACACAGGAGGCTCTGGAGCCACACACACTGTTCTGCCCATTACACTCATTGTTGTCTAAGAGAGATGAAGATACACATTCATGAGATTTCATAAAAAAAAAAATTGGGGTTCAAATTAGGTGCAAGTGAGGTGCTTATGGGAACTAACAGTTCTGAGTCTAAGTTTTTAAAAACTTTTCTAGGTAGTAGAATTGTCCTAAGCAAAGTGTGTATCTTGTTCACGGCCACTCACCGATACAGGCGGTTTGGTGCTGGGTGAAGCCCGCAGGACACTTGCAGGTGAACCCTCCAATGGTGTTGACACACAGGAACTGACAGTTATGCTGCTTAGTGGAACACTCATCCAGATCTGTAGTAGAGGGGTAAAAAGATGGATTTGTTAATATGCTGTGAAAAAAAGCATGTATACTGTATGTACCGTAGTTATATGAAAGCGTCAATACAGGACTTTTTTTGGAATCCTACTTTGCCGGCTCTGACGCTCGTCAAATGTGGCAGGGCTTGCAAACTACCACGGACTACAAAGGAAAACCCAGCCGCGAGCTGTCCAGTGACACGAGCCAACCAGACGAGCTAAATGCCTTCTATGCTCGCTTAATGGAAAGCAACACTGAACCATGCATGAGAGCACCAGCTGCTCTGGACGACTGTGTGATCACGCTCTCCGTAGCCGATGTGAGTAAGACCTTTAAACAGGTCAACATTCACATGGTCGCGGGGCCAGACGGAATACCAGGATGTGTACTCAGAGCATGCGCTGACCAGTTGGCAAGTGTTTTCACTGACATTTTCCCTGACCCAGTCTGTAATAACTACATGTTTCAAGCAGACCATCATAGTCCCTGTGCCCAAGAACGCCAAGGTAACCTGTTTAAATGACTATCGCCTCGTAACACTCACATCTGTAGCCATGAAATGCTTTAAAAGGCTGGTCATGTGTCACACTCTGGCTCCGGGACTTTGTGTGTTGAGCCAGGGTATGTTCGTTTCGTGGTGTTTTGTTTGGTTGGGTGGTTCTATGTGTTGTATTTCTTGGTTTGGTTGAGTGACTCCCAATCAGAGGTAACGAGTGTCAGCTGTTGGCTCGTTGTCTCTGATTGGGAGCCATATTTATACTGTGTGTTTTCACCTTGTGGTTGTGGGTTTTTGTTCCATGTTCTGTCAGTATAGCAGAGGACTTCACGAATCGTTCTTGTTTTATTGTTTTGTTACAGACTTTGAATTAATAAAGTCATGTTCGCTCAACGCGCTGCGCTTTGGTCTACTCATTTGGAAGACGTTCGTGACAGAAAAACCCACCATCAAAGGACCAAGCAGCGTGTCCGGGAGCAAAGAGACTGGACATGGGAGGAGGCGCCTGGTAAGGAGATCGAGAGGCTGGCGATGGCCCAGGTGGGCAAATCGTGGTCCTGGGAGGACATGCTCGGGGGCAAGGGACCTTGGGGGAAGATCAAGGCCCTGGCGAGAGAGGAGCAACGGCGTCAGCAGGGTCATCGTTGGAAGGACGTGAGGCAACCCCAAAAAGTTTTTTGGGGGGGGCACATGGCTTGGGCGGCTGGGCAGCAGGAGGCTGCCACAGGGAGATGTGGAGAGAAGGCTACCGGATTACGGGAGCCATTGGCGAATAGAGGGAGGGAAGCAGTTGAGGCACGGCGTGAGAGACTGAGGTGTGTTACCAGTCCGGACCGGCCCGTTCCTGATCCCCGGTTGAGGCCAGTGGTGTGTGTTCCCAGTACGGACCGGCCTGTTCCTACTCCAAGCATCAAGCCCACGGTGTGCGTCGCCAGTCCAGCCCGGCCGGTTCCTGTTCCACGTAGAAAGCCTACGGTGTGCGTGGCCAGCCCAGCCCGACCTGTTCCGACTCCACGCATCAAGCACACGGCATGGACGACGGAGGCAAAGATGGGGCGAATCCAGGAGGCCACCAGGCCAGGGGTACACCGCCCTGTACGTCCTGTGCGGATGCCTCACACAGAGTGTGTGAGGGTAGGCATTCAGCCAGGACGGGTGGTGGCCGCTGTTCACTCCAGGCCTCCTATCCGTCTCCACAGCCCGGTCCGGCATAGTCCTGCTCCCCGCACCAAGTCCACGGTGTGCGTCGCCAGTCCAGCCCGACCTGTTCCTGCGCCACGTACCAGACCCACGGTGTGCGTCGCCAGTCCAGCCCGGCCGGTTCCTGCTCCACGTACTAAGCCTACGGTGTACGTCGCCAGCCCGACCCGGCCTGTTCCTGCCACCCGCACCAAGACTACGGTGCGCGTCGCCAGCCCGGTCCGGCCTGTTCCTGCCACCCGCACCAAGTCTACGGTGCGCGTCGCCAGCCCGGTCCGGCCTGTTCCTGCCACCCGCACCAAGTCTACGGTGCGCGTCGCCCGGCCAGAGTCTGCCGTCTGCCCAACGGCGCCTGAACTGCCCGTCTGCCCAACGGCGCTTGAACTGCCCGTCTGCCCAACGGCGCCTGAACTGCCTGTCTGCCCAACGCCGTCTGAACTGTCCGTCTGCCAAGCGCTGCATAAGCCGCCCGTCTGCCATGAGCCTTCAGAGCCGTCCGCCAGACCGGAGCCGCTAGAGCCTTCCTCCAGACAGGATCAGCCAGAGCCTTCCGCCAGACAGGATCAGCCAGAGCCTTCCGCCAGACAGGATCAGCCAGAGCCTTCCGCCAGACAGGATCAGCCAGAGCCTTCCGCCAGGCAGGATCAGCCAGAGCCTTCCGCCAGGCAGGATCAGCCAGAGCCTTCCGCCAGCCAGGATCCGCTAGAGCCAGCCAGCCAGGATCCGCCATTCAGTCCGGTGCTGCCCCTTAGTCCGGTGCTGCCCCTTAGTCTGGTGCTGCCCCTTATCCTGGTGCTGCCCCTTAGTCCGGTGCTGCCCCTTAGTCCGGTGCTGCCTCTTAGTCCGGTGCTGCCCCTTAGTCCGGTGCTGCCTCTTAGTCCGGTGCTGCCCCTTAATCCGGTGGGGGTCAGTTGGAGGAGGCTACGAAAGCGGGTAGTGACTATGGTGGGGTGGGGACCACGACCAGAGCCAGAACCACCGCCGAAGAGGTATGCCCACCCAGCCCTCCCTTGGTTAGCCCTAGTTGAGGCGCGGTCGCAGTCCGCGCCTTTAGGGGGGGGTACTGTCACACTCTGGCTCCGGGACTTTGTGTGTTGAGCCAGGGTATGTTCGTTTCGTGGTGTTTTGTTTGGTTGGGTGGTTCTATGTGTTGTATTTCTTGGTTTGGTTGAGTGACTCCCAATCAGAGGTAACGAGTGTCAGCTGTTGGCTCGTTGTCTCTGATTGGGAGCCATATTTATACTGTGTGTTTTCACCTTGTGGTTGTGGGTTTTTGTTCCATGTTCTGTCAGTATAGCAGAGGACTTCACGAATCGTTCTTGTTTTATTGTTTTGTTCCAGACTTTGAATTAATAAAGTCATGTTCGCTCAACGCGCTGCGCTTTGGTCTACTCATTTGGAAGACGTTCGTGACATCATGGCTCACATCAAAACCATCATCCCAGACACCCTGGAACCACTCCAATTCGCATACCGCCCCAACAGGTCCACAGATGGCGCAATCTCTATTGCACTCTGCCCTGGACAAGGGGAACACCTATGTGAGAATGCTGCTGATTGACTACAGCTTAGCGTTCAACACCATAGTGCCCTCCAACCTCATCACTAAGCTCAGGTCCCTGGGACTGAACACCTCCCTCTGCAACTGGATCCTGGACATCCTGGACAAAGATTTGGCATGGGCTCTCAGATCCTCAAAAAGTTATACAGCTGCACCATTGAGAGCATCTTGACTGGCTGCATCACCACTTGGTATGGTAACTGCTTTGCGTCCGACTGCAAGGCGCTACAGAGGGTACTGCGTACGGCCCAGTACATCACTGGGGCCGAGCCCACTGCCATCCAGGACCTCTATAGAAGGCGGTGTCAGACGAAGACCCTAAAAATTGTCAAAGACTCCAGCCAACCAAGTCATAGACTGTTCTCTCTGCTACTGCACGGCAAGCAGTACCGATGCACCAAGTCTGGAACCAACAGGACCCTGAACAGCTTCTTCCCCCAGGACCCTGAACAGCTTCTACCCCAAAGCCATAAGACTGCTAAATAGTTAACCAAATAGTTACCCGGACTGTCTGCATTGACCCCTTTTGCACTCTTTTGACTCATCACATATGCTGCTGCTACTGCTTATTATCTATCCTGTTGCCTAGTCACTTTATCTACCTCAATTACCTCTTACCCCTGCACATCGACTCGGTACTGGTACCCCATGTATATAGCCAAGTTATCATTAGTCATTGTGTATTTATTTATAGTGTTATCATTTTTCTATTCTTTTTTCTCTCTGCATTGTTGGGAAGGGCCCATAAGTAAGCATTTCACTGTTAGTCTACAACTGTTGTTTAAGAAGCATGTGACAAATAATATTGGATTTGATTTGACCCACCTTTGCAGGTCTTTCCATCAGGCTGCATGGTGTATCCTCTGGGGCAGGAGCACAGGTAGCTGCCCTCTGTGTTCTTACACAGGAAGTTACAGGGCTTGGGAGACGCAAAACACTCATCCATATCTGAAAAAAAGAACAGGAAACAGTAGTGAGTAATACGATCAGAATGAGGGCCATTTCTACCCCGGGGCAGGATGGTTTGGTCCAAGGCCCAGTAAGAGAGAGAGAGACGGGTCATACCAATGCAGGAGGTGCCGGTGAAGTCGGTGGTATAACCCACGTTGCAGTGGCAGCGGAACGATCCGATGGTGTTGATGCACTGGCCGTTCTTACACAGGTCTGGCATCACCGTGCACTCATTGATGTCTGCAACAACAGCAGGCAAGGAGGTTAGACAAACACACACACATCCCTATCTCCTTCCACATTCCTTTACCATTTACTATGACCCTCCCTCAACCCCTTCTCACATCCTCTCCCCTCTCTAACCTCTGCCGTCGGTGGTGTACCCGGGTCCCAGTGGGCACATCCTCTTGTACTGCACGGTGCCAGGCAGAGGGCAGAGCTCACACTGGGGTCCCCAGCCACGTCCGAGGTTGCAGCAGCACTCAGATTTGGTGACACTATTCCTGTTGGTGGAGCCCTGCTGGCACATAGTCTGGAGCACCTCGGTGAAACAGAAGCCCTGTCGGTTATCTGTAGGGGTGGAGGGAGGATAGTGAGTGACTGAGTGACTGAGTGACTGAGTGAGTGAGTGTGAGAGAGAGAGAGAGAGAAGTCAGCAATATACAGGAGCTGTATATCAAGTGTGTGTGTGGAAGGGGTGATATATTCTTTTATTATTTTGTTTTGATGTGGTTACATTGAAATTGCATGGATGGGTTGTGCATCCTTCTGCAGAATCCTTTGTGGTGATATGCTCACCGATACACTCTGTTCCAGTGGAGCTGGGCTGGAAGCCTTCGTTGCACACACAGCGGTAGCTTCCCACTGTGTTCTCACAGCGCCCGTTCTTACAGATGCCAGGCTTCGCACGACACTCATTCAGGTCTGCCAGGGGGAGGAGGATGAAAGATGAGAGGAGAGGAAGATGAGAGAGAAGAGAGGGGGCGAAGGAGAAGAGGGGAGAAGATGAAAGTTTAGAACAGTGTGAAATAAAATGTAATCACTTTCAAGAAGTGTCCTACTTCTCTCCTGCAGTGTGTGTGTTTTTGTGTGTCTGTCTGTGTGTGTGTGTGTGTGTGTGTGTGTATGCCTGTGTCTGTGTGTCTTTGTGTGTGACTCACCCATGCAGCCCTCTCCGTCAGGTCTGCGCTGCATGCCAGGGGGGCAGATACACATAAAGTTGCCAATCAGATTCTTACAGGACATGCCCTTGGAGTCACAGTCATCCAGCCCCTCTGAACACTCATCCTGGTCTGGAGAGAGAGAAAGATTGAGAGGGAGAGTGCGAGAGGGAGAGATAGAGAGTAAGATATAAAGAGTGAGCGATAGAGAGAGTAAGATATAAAGAATGAGTGAGTGAGAGTGAGAGTGAGAGTAAGAGTAAGAGTAAGAGTAAGAGTAAGAGTGAGAGAGAGTGAGAGTGAGAGAGAGAGAGAGAGAGAGAGAGAGAGAGAGAGAGAGAGAGAGAGAGAGAGAGGGAAGTCATGCAGAAGAACAGCTCCTGACTTGTTATAACTTTTTGGTTGTTAAGAGCGAGATTGACACGACTAAATTAGCAAAAAATGTATAGGTAATCTAATTGTACAACTGAAGATCAAAACAGGAGGAAAAGATTGACAGAGAGTGAGTAAAAAGACCAATCTTCATCGTGGTAGCTAGCCAAATTAAAATCTGTCAGCTAGCTCACCGTCCAGCTCTAACCGTTTACTGGTGGTAACCATAGCAACATGGCCACTGAGGCAGCGCTAGCATCGATAGTAACGGCAGAGACTGAGAGACTTTCTCCGTTGTTTTTTGAATACCCAGCAGAAATAAAATCAGAGAAGGGAAGAATCAACTTTAAACACCGAATTCTGAGGGAAAACCCAGAAACTTTGTTTGCTGACTGCTCACAAAACGGGACTGTTACAAACCTGCTATTTTACACAGACCACACTACTGCCTGGCATACAGCTGTAACTAGCCATTTCAGCTACACCACGAAGAAAGGCATCTGCAAGGGAAGACAAATCCACATTTTTGAGGACAGCGATAAGGACCAGGAAAACAGGTTTCTGACGGTAAACATGTATCAGAACGGTACTATCATGGTCCAGGGCAGTGAGGCTGCACTCAGCTCTGTTGTGCAGGACTTCCCCACCCTAATGAAGATAGCAGAAAGTAAAAAAGACAAGGACAGCACCCTGACCTCTCCCCTCACCTCAGGCACCCCAACAGCAGGACTATCCTCCCCCCTGCCTGCCTACAACCACCAGAGCCAAGACCACACTACCATCAGCCTGTTGAGAGACAGGCTGGCTCTGTTAGAGGTATGGGTTACTGAGCTGAAGGAGCAGCCCCCCAGCTACACCACCCCCAGCCCAGACACAGAGCTTCTACAGGACCAGATCAACCAGTGCAGGACCCAGCTGAAGAACTCTGTCCAGGAGCTGAGAGAGAGCCTTACCACAGCGCTTGAGGAGGTAAAGGCCACCATGAGGAGAGAGCTAGTGCAGGTAAAGGAGGAGATGGCAAAGGAGTTGTCTGTCATCAAGAGGGTGCTACAGCAGAGAGAACAGACTGTAGAGACTCCCAGAGAGAAGCTGCAGCCCCTCACCACCCCTAACAACCCCACTGACCCACCTTTACCCACAATCCCCCCCCATACCGACAACACTTTACCCACACCCCCAGTCAACAAAGAGGCCCACATTGAGACAACTACTACAGAGAGAAGCTCTCTGGCCCCCCCTGACACACCCCCACACACCCCTCCATGTACACAGGCCCTGTCTACTCCAGCCCCAGACCGAAAACGCACCAATCTGGTAAAACCCACTGAGGTGGCCATCCTCATTGACTCAAATGGGAAATTCATTCAAGAAGATAAACTCTTCCCCCAACACAAGGTGCGCAAAATATGGTGCCCAAAAACACAAGATGCACTCCACATCCTGTCCCAGCCTGACTTTGGCACACCAGGCCACATTATTATTCACACCGGCACCAACAACCTGCGAGAGGAGCAGGAGAGAGTAGGCAGCCTGGTCAACAGAGTAGCAGAGAGGGCCTCTGAGTGGTTCCCCAACTCCCACATCACCATCTCCACTCTGCTGCCCCGCAAAGACTTTCATCCCCGTACCATCCAGAAAGCCAACGCTGACATCACCAGAGGGTGTGGCCTACTCCCGAACATACACATTGCTCACCACCCAACAATCACCCCAGAGCATCTACACGACCACTCCCACCTGAGGAAGCAGACAGTAGGGATGTTTGCCAAGTCCCTAAAGGACGTAGCACTTGGTAGACAAACACCCCATGCTGTACTGGACAGAGGAGCACCCAGAGACCCCTACCAGACCACTGCACCACCAAGGAGCCCCAGGCCCCTTCAACGCCACACCAGACCCAGTGCACCCCACAGGCCCCACCCACCCCCAGAGCATCACCACTTCCATCGGCTTAGCCAGACCAGACCGGGCCCAGCCTATTATCCCGCACCAGACCACCACCCCTACCAGACCAGAGAGGAAGTCCCACAGCCCAGACCTGGCCCCCCTCCACCTCACAGGGCCCAACAGCAGGACCAGCGCAGCTACGCGGAGGTCGTCAGAGGACAGGAGAACCCTGTAGGATTAAGTGAGATTAAACAGCTCCTCCAATACATCTGCACTAAACTGCACTAAACACACACGGACGCATACACACACACACCACACACACACCACACACACACACCTATTGTACTAGAATTTACTTGTTCAATGAATAGGAATATTTAACAGAATAACAGAATAAATGTTAGCTGATATCCTGTTTATCTCGCTCTTAACAACTTATTAGTTAATCGTTACTGTGTTTCTGACTGCTACTCCTTCTTTTTGCAACATGAAATCACTATCAGTTAGCATGTGGAACATTCAGGGTCTAAACTCATCAACCTTTGGTCTGAAGAGTTTTAGCACTGGAGTTCAACAAAAATCTGAAAGATGTTGACGTCATCATTCTGCAGGAGACATGGTGTAAGGCTGACGTTGTCACTCACTGTCCCACAGGCTACAGAGAGATCATTGTGCCATCACAGAAACACAGCTCTGTCAATAGAGGCAGAGACTCTGGAGGATTGATCATTTGGTACAAATCCGAACTACAAAATCTAATTGATCCCCTCAAAATTGGCAAATACCACATTTGGTTAAAACTAAAAAAAGAACTTGTACTGACAGGAAAAGATGTGTTCCTTTGCGCAATATATATCCCCCCCTCAGAATCCCCATATTACTCAGAGGAGATCTTCCCCACCCTCGAGGAAGAGACGTGCCATTTCCAGGCCCAGGGAAATGTGCTCATCTGTGGGGACACAAATGCGCGCACAGGAACACTACCTGATCTAACGAGCACACGAGGGGACAGCTTTATTACAGACCATACTGTTTCTAACTATCTTAATCTCCCCCATAGAAACAACAGTGACAGCACCGTCAACAAAAACGGAAGGGATCTTTTGCAGCTCTGTAGAAGCCTGGGTCTGTACTTTGTCAATGGTAGGTTACGGGGGGACTCTTTGGGGAGATTCACCTACTGCTCACCTCTTGGCCACAGTACAGTAGACTATATGATCACAGACATGGACCCTTTCTCTCTCAGCTCATTCACTGTCAAGCCACTAACACCTCTGTCTGATCACAGCCAAATTACGTTGTTCCTCAAAAGAACAGACCTGGAAACAACCACACATTCACAACCCAGTAAGCTGTACAACATCAGAAATTCATACAGATGGGCCCAAAACAGCACAGAAGAATACCAGAAAGCAACCTGGAACCAAAATATCCAAACACTCTTAGATAACTTTCTGGATACCACATTCACTCACAGTAAAGAAGGCATCAATCTAGCAGTACGAAACATCAACTATATATTCAGGCAAACGGCAAAAGAAGCACAATTGAAATTGATAAAAAACAAAACTAAAAAAAACACAGATGACAACTGGTTTGATGCAGATTGTAAAATTATAAGGAAAAAACTTAGAACACTATCCAACCAAAAGCACAGAGACTCAAATAATGGTGAATTACGCCTTCATTACTGTGAGACTCTAAAACTCTATAAACGTACACTCAGAACCAAAAAAGCACAGTACAACAGCAAGCAGCTGACACTAATTGAGGAGTCCATAAACACAAACAACTTTTGGCAAAATTGGAAAAAAACTAAAAAAATCTAAACAAGAGGAATTAGCAATACAAAATGGTGACATATGGACAACCCATTTCAAAACACTCTACAACACCGTTCAAATTGACACAAACGCAGAACAACGCCAAATCCATGAGAAGTTGAATGGATTAGAAAAAGCTATAAAGGACAATCAAAACCCATTGGACTCCCCAATTACTGACCAGGAGCTCTATAAGAAACTTCAGGCTCTCAAATTTAAAAAAGCCTGCGGACCTGATGGCATCCTAAATGAAATGCTCAAACTCATTAGTGCAAAATTTCAATTGGCTATATTAAAATTGTTTAATTTGATCCTGAGTGTAGGTTATTTCCCTGACATCTGGAATCAAGGACTCATAACCCCAATCTTTAAGAATGGAGACAATTTGACCCTAACAATTACAGAGGCATTTGTGTGAACAGTAACCTGGGGAAGGTTTTCTGTAGTATCATCAATGTAAGACTTCTAAACTTCCTTAATAAGCACAATGTCTTGAGTAAAAGCCAAATTGGATTTATACCAAAACATCGCACAACTGATCATATTTACACCTTACACACCCTGATAGATAAACATGTCCACCAAAATAATACCAAAATATACACTTGCTTTATCGACTTCCAAAAAGCATTTGATTCTATTTGGCATACAGGACTGTTCTACAAAGTTATTGAAAGTGGTGTAGGGGGTAAAACATATGACATAATTAAATCAATGTATACTGGCAATACGTGCAGCATTAAAATTGGTAAGAAAAGGACAGAATTCTTTAACCAGGGGCGGGGCCTTCGTCAGGGTTGCAATCTGAGCCCTGCACTCTTCAATATTTACATTAACGAATTGGCCACTATTCTAGAAAAATCCTCAGCCCCTGGTGTTAGTCTCCACAATTCAGAAGTTAAATGCCTACTCTTCGCAGATGACCTATGCCTGCTGTCACCCACAGCACCTGGCCTACAGCAGAGCCTGGACCTGCTAGAGCATTACTGCCAGACCTGGGCCCTGGCAGTAAACCCCAAAAAGACTAAAATAATGATTTTCCAGAGAAGATCCAGATCTCAGGGAATTAGACCAAAGTTCTCAATTGGTACAAAATATATAGAGTACTGTACACACTACAATTACTTAGGTTTAAAAATAAGCTCAACTGGACACCTTAATGAGGCAGTGAATGAACTGAGAGAGAAAGCACGCAGGGCCATTCTACGCCATTAAAAAGCAAATTCAAATTGAAATACTATTAAAATTTGGCTAAAACTAATTGAATATGTCATTGAACCAATTGCACTTTATGGCAGCGAGGTGTGGGGTCCACTTGCAAAAACAAGATTTCATCAAATGGGACAAACACCCCATTGAAACCCTACATGCAGAGTTCTGTAAGATTCTCCTACGTGTCCAGAGGAAAACTACAAACAATGCATGCAGGGCAGAATTAGGCCAATATCCACTAATAATAAAAACTCAAAAAGAGCAATTAAGTTTTGGAAACATCTAAAATACAGTGACCCCCTCTCATATCATTACCAAGCCCTGCAATGCCAAGAGCTGAGCAAAGAAAAGAGTCCCCTCATCCAGCTGGTCCTGGGGCTGAGTTCACAAACCTGTTCTACTAACACACTGAAGCCTCAGGACCAGAACATCCAATCAATCAGAATAAACCAAATTACAACACAGTCAAAACAAACTACATTGCTTATTGGGAAACACAAGCACAAACACAAAGCAAAATGCAGTGCTATCTGGCCCTAAATCGACAGTACACTATGGCTAAATATTTGACCATGGTTACTGATCAAAACCTTAGAAAAACCTTGACAAAGTACAGGCTCAGTGAGCACAGCCTTGCCATTGAGAAGGGTAGACACAGGAAAACCTGGCTCCCTGTAGAGGAAAGGCTGTGCAACCACTGCACAACAGCAGAACCTGAGACGGAGCTGCATTTCCTGACAAAATGTCAAAAATATAAAACAATTAGAGAGTGTCATTTCCCCAAATTTGAAATCCTTATTCAAGGTTTTAAAGACCTCTCTGATGAGGATAGGCTACCCATCCTGTTGGGGGAGGACGCAGAGAGCTGTTGGGTTGGCAGCGCACTACATTGCTGCCTGCCATAAGTTGAGGGACAGTGTCTGACAGACCAATAAACCTGCACATGTCCTCACTGTATGATTATTGTTATTGTTGAATGTATGGTTATATTGACCGTTGGTTATTGTTGTTACTGTTGTCCCGTTGACAATTTTGATTCTCATTTTTATTTATTTTTTATATTGTAAATATCCAAAGTAAGCTTTGGCAATATGTACATTGTTACGTCATGCCAATAAAGCGAATTGAAATTGAATTGAATTGAATTGAGAGAGAGAGAGAGAGAGAGAGAGAGAGAGAGAGAGAGAGAGAGACGATAGAGAGAGAGAGAAGCGAGAGAGAGAGAGAGAGAGAGAGAGAGAGAGAGAGAGAGAGAGAGAGAGAGAGAGAGAGATAGAGGAGAGAGAGAGAGAAGAGAGAGAGAGAGAGAGAGAGAGAGAGAAGAGTAAAGGTTTAAAGAACAATAAACCAATATGGCTTGGCTACTGGTAATGATAAGAAGGAGGAAAAAACTCATTACTAAAACAGATGAATGACAAAAAAGATTCTACTGTAAATTATTTTCAGAATCCAGCCCAGTTCACTGTAAAACTGCCATCTCTAAAACATGACCATATAAAACCATCCTGGTGAATTTATGACTTCACTCTACCACAGCTGTATAATAGCTACCCCACATGGTTTCGTCTTCCTGAGTGTTTCCATATGACTACTGATAAAGGGAGAGAGAGAGAGCGAGATGGAAGGAGAGAGGTGAGAGAAAGAGAGAGAAAAAGCTCCTGCAGAGAGAGTAGTGCTGAGCGATTAGATTTTTCAATTATTTGTATTCCATTTTGTTCGGGGGTTTTCTGAGCTCAATGCGCAGTTTTCTCTAAATCAGATAAATCAGATCAAGCCCAAACTGTGCGATGTAGTAGGGAGTTGTATTTTCCAACATGCCAATATTCTACATAGTTTAGCTCAGAAAACGTGGAATGAAATAATAGTCATCAAATGAAACTAATGTAATATACACAACAACTGACATACTGTATTAAATAATGTGATTAAATGATGGTTAATAAGTGATAAGCAGAAATGGGCATTCACTACCAGCATGGGACTTTTATTAATAGTTGAATTCTGTGTCGTTACAGCATTCAACACACATAATGCATAGTGCATTTAATGTAAAAAAATATTAGCGAAACTGAAATCGAAAACCGTGATAATCTTTTAAATAATCAAACAAAAACCGAACCGACCTCAAAAAGCACTAATCGCTCAGCGCAGAGAGAGAGAGAGAGAGAGAGAGAGAGAGAGAGAGAGAGAGAGAGAGAGAGAGAGAGAGAGACTCCTGTGTGGAGGTAGTTTATGGTGTCCCCTCACCTCTGCACATGCGGAGGTCGTCTCGCAGCACATAGCCCGAGGGACACATGCACTCGTAGGAACCAAAGGTGTTGACACAGCGGAAGGCACACAGCAGGGGGTTCAGAGAACATTCGTTGATATCTGGGGAGAGAGAAAGAGGGAGAGAGAGAGAGAATGAGAGGGAGAGAGGGAGAGAGAGAGAGAGATGAGTACATTCTATTATACAAGACAAATTGTAGAATCTGATGGTATATCATCATAAGCATTTGTACTTTTCCATGTGTAAAGTTAGGTGAAATGTGAAAGGTGAGTATTCATATGATGTCACATACCTTCACAGGTCATCATAGGTCCGGGTTCGAAGCCTTCATGACAGGAGCACTCGAAGCCTCCCAACACGTTAGTACAGGTCCCGTTACCACACGGGTTCCCTATAGAGCACTCATCAGTGTCTGGGGTGGGGGAGGGAGGGGGGAGGAAGAGGTGGGAAGGGGAGACAGAGGGGGGAGGGCGGTAATGTTATGACCTCTGCCAAGAATGTCCTTTTGAATGAAGGACAGTCAATGTAATCATCATCCTCATCGGTTTATCTGTAAAAAATTGTAACCTGCACTTGTATGCTGATGCCACTGTTGTGTAAGCCGATGCTCCCACGGTTGACCAGGTTCTTTCTGAGCTACAGTCTGCATTCATTGCTTTACAGAAAATCTTTGTTGAACTGAAATTGGTGCTGAATGCAGATAAAACCAAGTGTATGTTGTTTTCCAGAACACTTAAAAATGTATCTGATGATTTAGACATATGTACTTTGGATGGTGCCTACATTGATCGTGTCCCTGCTTATCAATATCTGGTCATCTGGATAGACGAAAAGCTGTCTTTTAAAAAGCATATTGATGAGTTAGTTATTAAGTTGAGAACAAAAATGGGCTTCCTTTATAGAAAAAGGTCATGCCTCTCGTTAAATAGCAGAAAGCAAATGATTCAGTCGACGTTCTTCCTGGTTCTAGACTGTGGCGACATCATCTATATGAATGCAGCTCCCACTACATTAAAGCCGTTAGATGCTGTTTATCATAGCGCATTACGCTTTATTACGGGTGTCAGGTTCAGTACACATCACTGCATTCTATACATGAAAGTAGGCTGGCCCTCTTCGAAGTCACGTAGGTCGATTCATTGCTCCCTGAGACCATACCTGGTCTCAGGGATGGCTGACTCTGGAGACCTCTTCGGTCTCTACTGAGTTAGGTAAATCAGCTTTTAGTTTTTTGCATCCCCATGTATGGATCAATCTACAGAGTTCCTTACAACTAGATGTACCGGTGCCTCTCGGGCAGTTCAAATTGTTGATTGGGGACCTCTTTGCTGAGGAATGTGATTGTTTCTCTTGAGTGTATTTTGTAATTTTTTATATTTTTATTATGTTGTATTTGTAAATTGTGTATATGCAGGGATCCCTTGTAAAAGAGACATTGGTCTCAATGGGACTCCCTGCTAAAATAAAGATTTTAAAAAATCATCAGCATCACCAATAGGGGTCAGGGGTCAACTCACCAACACAGTTGACCCCGGTGTAGTCCAGGTTGTAGCCGAATGGACACTCGCAGCGGAACGATCCGTCCGTGTTGATACAGACACCGTTCTGACAGATGCCTGGGTTGTCCAGACACTCATTCATATCTACAGAAAGACAGATAAGGACACTTTATTGACTAGAGAGTTTTGACATCGGGTCATCAAAGAGCTGATGCAGTTGAGGGGTGGGTATGTCTGCGGTTGGCCCAGTCGTGTCACTTGTCACTCACCCTCACGGGCGTCCCCTAGTCCAGGCAGGGCTCCATGGCCATAGGGACACAGGCTGTCAAAGGCCGCTGGAGACACAAGGAGACAGAGGTCAGAGGTTAGATCTACGCACACTGATAACAAGACAGGATCATTTTGGTTTAGCTCTTATCAACTGGCTTGAGTTGAAGAATGCATTATTATCACTACAATGAATGGAAAAGTACTGTGTGTTTGTGTGTGTGTGTGGAACATGTCATGTGTGTGACTCACCCTCGCTCTCGCGTGGGCACAGCTCGCAGGGGTCCCCCCAGCCCTCGCCTGGCATCTTGCTGCAGCAGCACTTGGCCTTGGTGGTGTTGAAGGCTTTGGGCACAGAACACTTGCCAGACTCAAAGCGGGTGAAGCAGAAGCTCTCTCTGGTATCTGCAGGGGTTGGAAACAACCAAGTCAGGGGGAGAGTAGACAATAGACTACCACCAATGGGTCTGAGACAGTACTCAAAAGGTTATTACTTTTTGGCCACACTAGAAAGGACAGAATTCTGAGACTATATTTCCACAATTGTACTCGCTAACATGGGCATCTAGTGACTACTTGGAGGGTTTTCTCCCTCACCAAAGCAGCGGCGTCCGTTGTCAGACAGAACGAAGCCATTCTGGCAGATACACTGGAAGCTTCCTGGGGTGTTGGTGCATGTGCCAAACTGGCAGATATTGGGCTCCACCTCACACTCGTTGATATCTGGGAGGAGAGAGACAGGGAGGGAGGAGAAGAAGGATGACAGGAGGGAGAGGGGATGAGTTTCAAACTCCAAGGACAGATGGTGTATGGGTGTATAAATGTGGCTATAAGGCCGTTACACAGTGTGGTGTTTGTGTGTGTTGGGCCAGATGGCGTGGTCGCTGCAGGTCATTGACACCCTGATGTGTAGGTTTGGGCGTATTCTGACTCTAGCTGTGTGAGCAGGTGGGATCAGTATGTATAGAAGTGATGAAGTCATGTTCTTTGTGGTGGTCCAGTGTGTGTGTGTGTGTACGTAATTGCGTCAATGTTAATGATCTCTTTCACCTCCAATGGTCCAGTGTGTGTGTGAAGGAGACTCCTACCTATACACTGGTCGTTCTGGACCTCGTATCCAATGGGGCAGATACAGCGGAAGGATCCGTCCAGGTTCTGACAGGTTCCAGGAGAGCAGGTCCCAGGAAGACTCACACACTCATTGATATCTGACAAATGACAGCAGTACACTCCTCACTAGAAATACACTACAGTTCACACACACCAAGTCCAGATCAGACATACATTAAAACATTCCAAATACTTGATTTAGCTTGGAGTTTGCACTTTTCTGACTATTCCATTGGTTCCATTGTACAGGGCAAACTAAATCAAGCGTGGGTCAAGTATTTGAAAGTATTTGACATACAATATGTATTTCTTCCCCTAGTCTGCCTGGAAGTTGACTTAACTTACCAACACAGTTCTTTCCGTCTAGGGTGAGTTCGTAGCCTTCCTGACAGAGACACTGGAAGGAGCCCAGGCCGTTGATACACTGGCCATTCCTACACACCTGACCCACCAACGCACTGCACTCATCAATGTCTGGAAAGTGGATAGAGATAGTTCGTTTTCATCTTATCATTCAAAATATGCTTGAAACATTTCTTCATTACACAATTGAAAGTGTTCCTTTTAACATTTAGCCTGAATTACTCCTAAAGGTTGGTAATATAATTATTTTCCAAGATGTGCGTTGGGATGTGATCGAGTACGTACCCATGCAGTCATTGTTGTGCGTGAGCTCGAAGCCAGGGAAGCAGAGACAGTTGTAGGAGCCCACTGTGTTCTTACAGGTTCCGTTCCCACACGGCTGTCTGTCACACTCATCAATATCTGAGATGGAGAGAGACCAGGGGGTGAGGACCAGGTGAGACTGAGGTGAGTTGATTGAAACCAAACTATAGATCATATACTGTGTCTGCTATTGTAAGTCTATTGAGTTCACTGGGATTCTTTACTCACCCATGCACATGGTCTGGTCGGCGGTAGCCTTGAATCCGTTGTGACAGAGACAGCGGTAGCTGCCCTGGGTGTCTATACACTCTCCGTGGCTACACACGTTAGGGATCTCCTGGCACTCGTTACGGTCTACACACACAGGGAGAGAACATTCATTGATTCATACATCATACACACTTTTTAGTTCATTTGTAATAAATGATCGAACTAGGAAGTTCCATGGAGATCAATAATCTGTTTTCCAAGGGAGACCAGGCCAAGAAGGCAGCTCCAGCATTAACTAATAGACGTTCCACGAAAAGAGTGCCCTTTGATATTTTAAGTAGAAATTGTGCACCAATATTGAATTTTAAAAGCCTGTTATATTAATTGAAGCTCCCTTTAATATAGACCACATGGAGAATTCAATAAATCTGTTTTTTTTATATGAACAAAGACTAGGAAGATTCTAATCCGCTTAACCCCAACATTTCTCCAAGTTTTCACCATCATTGTAAATCCCTAGTTATTTTGTTGCTTTGACAAAGTCATTTCTGAAGATAATTCTTTATTTCATGTGATTAATTTACATCTGTCCCTCATTTTAAGGTCAACCCTGTTACGTGCACTAAACTCTCATTTTAATATGGTGAAACAATTCATATATATTTTTTTCTTCAAAAGGAACATTGGACATTTAATGCTCTATTTTAACAAACCTAACCCAATGCTAAATCTAAGCTCTGGCGATAGGGCTATAGGTCCCAGGGTGTCAGAAATATTTGTGCTATTTTCACTGCAGGAATTATGAGCGCAATAGCTGGCGGTGACGCGAAAGGGCTGTGTTTTTAAGAATAAATAAATTATAGGTGTGACGAGGGCTTGCCCACTCACTGGCCAATCAACACGTTTCACGGCTTAATACTGCATGCCGTTGTCTCAAGTTCTGTAGGTTATTGACGGTCTTTGTGTTGTCATCAACTCCATTTTGTCTGCATGGGGGCACCGAATATTACCTTCCTAGTCCATTGTGGATTGATACAGTTTATTAAAAGGGGATGCTCCCAAACTTGATCTTTGGTGATTAAAGCATAGGTGATTAAGATTAGTTTCAAAGCAGTCTCATGAGCTAAACCCTTTATGATAGTGTTGACTACTTGGCGAATGCATTGGGCAGAAAAAAAAAACTGCCTTCATTGACAGGAAGGGAGGCTATGTTTTTTTTTTTTTATCAAATGAAATTGGAAAGAAAACATTTGTTTTTTATGTTTCTTAATACCAGGTTTACGGGCACTAAAAGCAAATCTCTCTTGTTCCATGTGCATATGGGTACTGTGCATCACGGCTGGATAGGCTGCGCTTCCGCTGTCAAAATCCATGCCATAACCAACTGGGTTACCGCTAAGACCAGCTTTTGGTTGGTCTTAAATATCCCCAACAGCGCTGCCTGAAATTGGCACTTTGGCACGTTTTTAAGGACACAACTCAGATATTGCCACCCCTCACACCTCAGCTCAAGCAAGCTCATATAAGACAGGTAAATTACCAATCCTGGCGCAAGGGTTCGAATACAGAAAAGCGCCAGCATAAACAGGTTGAAATTGCAAACTAGTGTGCGTTTGACAATTGTGCTGGCTTAACGCCAGCTGAAAATAGAGACCCTAATAGTAAAATCATAGTGTAAAAGCAGGTGAGCTGGTTTGATTCTTTTTGCTCATTTTCTGTTGTTTTGTGGTGTAAAACTGAGCGGGTCGAGCATAACATGTCAACCCTGTTACTCATCGATAGACAGGCTAGAAATGTTTTAGCAATAAAAAAAAATGGTGGAAAGCTTGAATTCAATAGCCACTCCCTGTTGCACACAACAAGCTTCCATTCCCCCTGTCACAAGGGGATTTATGGCGGATTTAAGATCAAATAATCCTCAACCCTGTTACGGTCAACCTGTTAAGATCTACATTCTTGGCCCCCCTTAAATCTGAACTCAGCCCCTGAGTGACTTCCAAGAGGTTAGGAGTCACCATAAAGCAGAACTTGGTATCCTAGGTGACCTCTAGGTGACCTCCCTGATGCCAAGGGTCAATGGCTGTAAATTCAGCCATCGATGGTTTCAAATGATCGAGACATCTAGTATAAGGCTCACTCTGACCCAAGTGCTCTCGACAACCTTGATTAAATGTTTTGATCAGGGGCCCGGAACACTTGGGGAACGAACAGATAAGCAAGACTATTTATGCCTGCCTGCCCTTGAGGATGTGGGGCAGATTGGTACGTGGCTGTGAAGGAACGTGTTAGTCTCCCTCTATGCTGCACATTATTTTTGTTTAATAAACCTTTAAATATAGAAGTTGTTGACCTTATCCTTGTATCCATCATTTCCACACCTCGGGCAAATTCACGCTTCCCGACAAACCCCTTGTACTTTATCTGGCACTTAACCCCTTACATGTGTGGAAATTGTCCTTTATGGATAGGGCCAAACTGAAATGTTTTTAACAGAAGAACTATAAAAAGCATGACCATGGTAGCAATTAAAAGAGAACACTTTGGAGATTATGGGAAATTAACAGACCAAAGGTGAGGACACAACAGTTCACCTTAAACAAGACTGAATCCAAACATTACACTCTTGATTTTATGCGCATTTCACATTTACTGTACTTCTCACAGCATTTGTCAATAACGTACTCTGGATACTGTCCATTCAGTAACATAATAAGTATATTTTTGAGTGAGATATCTAACTGGTGTCTCCAAGTGTCCACACACCTCTCCAAACTGTGCACAGTTCCTAAGTAATTTCAAAGCACTTGTATGACTCAAGGAAAGAGCCTTCAACTATAAAGGGGCTTTTTTGAGCTCTCCTAGCTTTGCCATTGAGGAACTGAAGCAAGCACACTTGTAGTTTTTTGTTTGGAACACAGCCCTGCATCCCCACCATCACACAATTACTGTTGTTGTTTACGCAATCCAAAAACAGTCCATTATAAATCGCAATCTGGGTCAGGTGGGCATAATTTGAAAGGTTATTCTATTGAAAACATGACTATCTAAGGTATAAAATACGATATTATAGTGTTAGGCTTTCAAAAATCAACAATTTTGGTACGCATAGAATGGAGTCATGAGTGCATTCAAGTGTGTGTTCCTCTGTAAATTTTGTTCACGATATGACAAACATAGGCTTAATATGTTCAGGACAACCCAGGGTATAACGCATGTCATCCTTGTAACTGTGGATCAAACATAGCGATCATAAACGTTGATACTGTAAATGACACAAGTTTTCAAATATGGAAATGTGTGAAGTGCACATTTGGACTCATTGGTGTGTGGTTTACTTGTATGACATCAAAGCTGTATTTATTATAATCCTCAACGTCTAATCTTTCAGATCACATCAACTCCTCTCGATTTACAGCATTTCCCTCACTCAGACAACAACAAATGGGCAAAAGTAGCCCAATTAGCGGGAGGAATGGGGGAAATATTCTTGTCGCGTCAGGTGCTCAAGGTAATAACGGCTGTCAGTCAAAACCAATACAGCGCTGTAAAGCGGAGAACCTGAGCTCTGACGTCATGTATAGCATGTTACTGTACAGCCACTGCATTCCAATTAAGGTGCTTATCGATGACAAAATCTGCCATTTTCAACTCGTATAACCTTTTTCATTTTAACATGTGTTCTTTATTACAGAATGTTAAAATGAGGTGAAATCAAACATTTTTTCTGACAAAGTCACACTTCTCAAAAGGCACCGAACTGGTGGAACGACCCACATATCGATCATCTGTGTGTTTTCCCATTGACTAATAAACCATCTAACTCTCGTACAATTACCTCTCAACAGAGAAACTCACTGTAGTACGCTTTACTTATAAACCATTAACATAATCCCGCCAACCCCCTATTGTTCTGAGATGGTAAATCCCTGCTGCCCCTGGGCACAGAGTCTGGACTCACCCACGCAGGCCCCGCTGGGGGACAGCCTGAAGCCTGGTGAGCACTCGCAGCGGTAGCTCCCTGGGATGTTGATACAGTTGGCGTTGCGTTGGCACAGGTTGTCTCCGCTGTTACACTCGTCAATATCTGGAGGGAAGAAAAACAAGAGCGGGCAGTGAACATCAGTCACAGTGGTCATAACCGTCTAGTAAAAACCCAGTGTGAGGTAATACAGAGGCTGAGGAGGACCAAACAGAACAGTGCCAGGCTGGCTGGGGTTCAGTGCATCTCTGCTTTAGGGTGATTTAAGTCCCCTGGACTGGCAGACCCTGGCACTAGGCTCCTACAGGGCCAGTATACTCTGCTGTCTGTCTTTACAAGCAAGGATAATTAAATGTAGGAGAGAGCAGCATTAAGTCTGCTGATCAGGAGTGCTTCTTAAGTGGCAGGTAGCCTAGCAGTTAAGAGCATTTGGCCAGTAACTGAAAAGCCGACTAGGTGAAAAATCTGTCCTTGAGCAAGGCACTTAACCCAAATTGCTCCTGTAAGTCGCTCTGGATAAGAGTGTCTGCTAAATGACTGTAAGTGATTGTTTTATGTGAGAGTGTCAGAGATTATATATAGACTGAGTGTGAGTATGTGTGTGTGTAGTTGCGTGTGTGTCCGAGCCTTACCTTCACAGATGAGCAGTATATTGTTATAACTGAAACCCATGGGACATTCACATCGGAAGCTTCCTATCTGGTTGATACACACTCCGTTGGCACATATCCCCGGGATCTCTCGACACTCATCAATATCTACAGAACAATACAGAAACATCATGCTATGTTAGCGACTCTTTCACTCACAAAGCCACTTTCTACTCGACTAAGTCTTGAAAAGCACGATTTACAATAGACACAGACATGGTGGTACCATATAATTACAATAATGATGCCAATATAGATCAGTTTATGTGTTGAGCAAGCAGTAGGCCATTATGACCTATTTGACCTAACAACCTTACCGATGGGCTTGCCCGTGTGGATGTCTATGATGAACCCAGGAGCCTGGTTCCCACACAGTAACTGGTACTCCGCTGTGGGGGAGAGGACAAAACAACTGAGTGAACTTATGCACCAAGAACATATTAAGAACATATTAAGGGGCTGTATTGAAAGTGCTGGAGATAGTGTGTGTGTGTGAGTGTCTTTTGTGCCAACTCACAGGTGGCAGGGGTAGGGCAGGCTTCACAGGGCTTGTTCCAGGCCCTGCCCACATTGTAGGCACAGCAGCACATCTTCTTGGTCATGTTGAACGACAGCTCATTCTCACACGTGTCATTGAAATTGCGGTAACACACGCTCTTCCTCATGTCTATGATGTCAGAGAGGGGGTAGAGAATGACTCACCATAAATACACAACTCAATAACTGTTTAGAATCCATTATAGTTTGTAAACCATTAGTAAACTGTTTATTTACATACATACAGTATATGCACCACCCAGTGTGGTCTGACTCACCCATGCAGTTGTTTCCTCCGTTGACCTGCATGTACTCAGGAGGACACACACAGGTGTAGTTCCCCAAGGTGTTGTAGCAGGTACCAGGACCACAGATTCCAATGTGTGCTGTGCACTCATCAATATCTAGACACACACAGAGAATACACATGGTTACACACAGTACTAATATAATACCAATCTAACAGAACAGTACTGAATAAGTACCCCACTTACTGACAGTACAGACATAACAGCTACCCCTCTTACAGATAGTATTGACATCTGACCCCTCTGCGACCTTTGCCCTCTTACCCTCGCAGATGCGTGTCTCCTCGTTGAGGTAGTAGCCTGCAGGGCACTCGCACTGGAAGCTGCCGAAGGTGTTGACACAGTTACCACCCTGGCACAGGCCTGGCAGCTCCTGACACTCATCAATGTCTAGTGAGAGAGAGAGAGGAGAGCGAGAGAGAAGAGAGAGAATAGAGAGAGAGAGAGCGAGAGAAGAGAGAGAGAGAGAGAGAGAGATAGATAGAGAGATAGACAGAGACAGAGAGGAGAGAGAGAGAGAGAGAGAGAGAGAGAAGCGAGAGAGAGAGAGAGATCTCTCTCTCTCGCTCCTCTCTCTCTCGCTCGCTCTCTCGCTCTCTCTCTCTCTCCCTCTATTCTCTCTCATCTCCTCCTGCTACTTCATCTCTCCTACTTAAGCTACTCGAGAGTCTCGAGCTCAGAGAGCCCTGTTTTCGTTTGTTGGTGACATACAAGATGAATAATAAGATCAGGACAAGTAGAAGAATAGGACAGAGAGGATGTGTTACCTTCCAGGATGACAGTGATGGGGTTGGGTCTGAAGCCCTCTCCTCCGGGACACAGTGTCTTGTACTCCGCTACAGACAAAAAAAGACCCCAAAACATCAATCTAGGACAACATATTCCTCAAAAACATAAGTGGAATTGGGCAAGATTAGCTCAGATCTTTTTTTTCAAAAAGAAAATGTCTGTCATGTTTTGGTTCGACCAAGCTTTATTGTACGTACTGGAGTTGATGGGGGGGCAGAGTTCACAGGGGTTTCCCCAGGCTCCTCCCAGGGAGCAGCAGCAGGAGGCGCGGGTGACGCCCACGCCGATCTCAGCACTGCAGGAGATGCCCCCGTCGCCACGCGCCAACGTATCTAGGAAACAGTTGCCCACTCGCGTGTCTGAGATGAGGGAAATAAACTATTGTTACACTTACACCCATCAACACTTCCTGCCAATCATTCATTGGCTGAGGTGTCTTCATCTCCATGGCTACGAGATATTAGCATTGCTCTAATGCCAGGTGTCCAGTACTTACCCACACAGCCCACTCCAGTAGGGTTGAGCTCGAAGTCAGGAGGACAGTTACACAGGTAGCTTCCTGGTGTGTTCACACACAAGCCGTTGATGCAGTTCACAGGGTCCGCACATTCGTTAATGTCTGGAACACACACAGAGCCAGAAACACACACTTTATGACCAACACTAACTAACACACATAGAGCCACACACAAACACTTTAACACGAGACATACACTTGATGAAAGCTATGCTTTCAGACTGTGAGAGGACTTGAGAAAGCAGAAAGAGCCTTGTTAATCTCACAGACTTGCTGCGGCTGCATTCCTGAGATTGAGAGGTACAGCGAGGGAATAGAAAGTCCAAATTGATGGAGAAATATGAGGGTTGCCGGATTGAGTTGGTACGGAGTGATGCCGTGGCAGAGTTCTCAGTGTGTGGTAGAGGGTGTGTGTTGCTCACCAGTGCAGTTTCCTCCACTGCGGTCCAGTTCGTAGCCGTCGTCACACACACACCTGAACATCCCCGGTAGATTCTGACACGTTCCAAACACACAGATGTTCTGGAAGTTACATTCGTCGATATCTACAGATGGAAAACACAGAGAGGATCAGTCAGGATCTATGGTGATAAAAATGAAAGGAATCACAGGGTGAAAAAGAAAGTGTGTTATTCTAACCCTGGCAGGCCTTGCTGTCCTCGGTGGGGGTGAAGCCCATCTCACATTCACAGCGGTAGCCCCCTGGAGCGTTCAGACACTGGCCGTTCTCACACAGGTTCACGTTGTCAGCACACTCATCCATATCTGAGCAGGAGAAGCCATCCCCGTTGAAGCCCTCCTTGCAGGCACAGCGGTAAGAGCCAGGGGTGTTGACACAGTCTGCGTTGAGATTACAGTTGTGCTCCTCAGTGGAACACTCATCCACGTCTATGGGGAGAGAGAAGAGAGTGGTCACAGTCAGCCATTATCAATGGAGAACCTGGAGCAATTAGGGTTAAGTGCCTTCCTCAAGGGCACATCTGCATATTTTTCACCTTGTCGCCTCTGGGATTCGAACTAGCAACCTTTCAGTTACTGGCCCAACGCTCTAACTGCTAAGCTATCTGCTGCCTAGTGGTCACATCCCCTGGTCATAGAGAGCTGAACAGAGGATCAACAGGGTTTTGTTCCAGCCCAGCACTATAGTGTACTCACCCACACACTTGATGCCGTCTCCCACCCAGCCATCACGACAGCGACACTTGAAGCTCCCGGGAACGTTGAGACAGGCAGCATGCATGTCACAGTTGTGAGCCCCAATCTCACATTCATCAATATCTGGAAGAAATAAGAGAGATCAATACAGGACAAGACATAACATTTTAGTTCCTCTCTCCTTCTGTCTGTACTCTGGTTTATACCCTATAGTCTGTACTCTGGTTTATACATTATAGTCTGTACTCTGGTTTATACCTTATAGTCTGTACTCTGGTTTATACCCTATAGTCTGTACTCTGGTTTATACCCTATAGTCTGTACTCTGGTTTATACCCTATAGTCTGTACTCTGGTTTATACCCTATAGTCTGTACTCTGGTTTATACCCTATAGTCTGTACTCTGGTTTATAACCTATAGTCTGTACTCTGGTTTATAACCTATAGTCTGTACTCTGGTTTATACCCTATTGTCTGTACTCTTGTTTATACCGTATAGTCTGTACCCTGGTTTACACCTTATAGTGTGTACTCTGATTTATACCTTATAGTCTGTAATCTGGTTTACACCTTATAGTGTGTACTCTGGTTTATACCTTATAGTCTGTACTCTGGTTTATACCTTATAGTCTGTACTCTGGTTTATACCTTATAGTCTGTAATCTGGTTTATACCTTATAGTGTGTACTCTGGTTTATACCTTATAGTCTGTAATCTGGTTTATAACTCATACATTATCCATGGAAGTTAAACATGTCCAAAGCTTTATGACAGCGTCATAACTAAGATAGTGTTTTACAGTAATAACCTTGCTGTTACTACAATTATGTGTGTGTAGCCCATGGTGCTGTGTGTGTGTGTGCGTGTGTGTGTGTGTGTGTGTGTGTGTGTGTGTGTGTGTGTGTACTGTACCTGTGCAGCCGGTGGAGCCCTTCTTAACAAAGTAACCCAGCTGGCAGTGACAGATGAAGGATCCCTTGGTGTTCTCACAGTCCCCATGTAGACAGATGTTAGGGTTCAGCTCACACTCATTCACATCTGGACACACAGACAGGAACACACACAGAGGAACATGAGTTAACTGGTCTTGGAGAGGGGACAGTGGAGTAAAATGTCTAACAATTGATGTCTAACAGGGTCAAAGAGAGAGAGCGAGACAGAGAGAGAGACAGAGAGAGAGGTGGGGAGTGAGAGAAATAGGAAAAGAGAGAGAAACAGAGAGGTAGAGAGAGAGAGAGGTGGAGAGAGAGAGAGAGAGGTGGAGAGAGAGAGAGAGAGAGAGAGAGAGAGAGAGAGAGAGAGAGAGAGAGAGAGAGAGAGAGAGAGAGAGAGAGAGAGAGAGATGGGAGAGAAAGAGAATAGTCTCACCGATGCAGGTCCTCATGTCCATGGAGGCCATGAATCCGTCATAGCAGAGACAGCGGTACTCTCCAGGGATGTTGGTGCACTGGCCTCCATCACAGATATCAGGGGTGTCCTCACACTCATCAATATCTACACAGGGTGTGACAGAGTGAGTGTTAACATGTATTTTTTCCATGAGTGTGTGTATGTGTATGTGTGTGCATGCATGTGTGTGTATCCCAGTGACATACCAGCGCAGGTCCTGAGGTCAGGCATGAGAGCGTATCCCTCACTACAGCTGCACTCGTAGCTGCCCTCTGAGTTGGTACAGTGTGTGTCACAGCCTCCGTTCATAATGGTACACTCATCAATATCTGCAATCAGACGGGTTACAGGTAAGTATAGACACACACACAAACAGAAACTCAAACATTGCCTTTTCTGATATGACAAAATGTTTTGACGTGATCTGCAAAGTCTGTTGTTGATTATTTTTGTAAACTTATGTAAGGTATTACCGTACACTGAAGAATGGTAATTCCCCCCCCCCCCCCCCCCCCCCCCCCCCCCCCCCCCCCCCCCAACCGCCTCCCCAAAAGACAAATGATGACATGTCTCAGTCAGTGCTCACTCACCCACACAGCCCTGTCTGTCTGGTGTAACCTGGTAGCCCGTGTCACAGGAGCACTGGTAGTTCCCCACCATGTTGACACAGTGGCCATTCTTACACAGGTTGTCACTCAGCTGGCACTCGTTCACATCTGGAAACACACAAAGAGAACATGACAGTCAGCTTAAATCAAAGAAACTAGCTTCCACAGTAGACAACATAGAAAGTAGTAGAATACCTTGAGATTACCGTTATGGAGGTTAATGTCTGGTTAACTTGAAAATGCATTCCAGATGACTTTGGGATGATGTAACTTTATATTTTTTTTACGGTGGTGTAAGTGTCTCATATTCTAGGTGTGTGTGTGTGTGTGTGTGTGTGAAATGTATAGTGTGCACTGTGGATGGATATATGACCTACCTTCGCAGGAGGAACCATCGGGACTAAGCTGGTGTCCGGGTGGACATTCACACTCGTAACTCCCCTCTGTGTTCAGACAGGCGCCTCCTCGACACAGCAGAGGGTTCCGCTCACATTCATCAATATCTGCAGGGGAGAGGGGGAGGAAGAGAGGGAGAGAGTGCAATGAGGTCAGCTGTCAAAAATGACTTGCACAGAGGATCTGTGAGGAAATTCTCCCACTCTCCTGTCAGCTGGAGAGCAGTGTGTGTCTGTGTTTGTGTGTGTGACTCACCCATGCAGTTCTTCATCATCATGAAGCCACTTTCGTAGCCCTCGAAGCATTCACACTCGAAGCTGCCAGGGGTGTTCACGCAGGTGCCGTGGCCACACAGGTCCGGAGAGATATGACATTCATCAATATCTAAGACACAGAGACAGAGGAGGGAGAGACAGAGGAGGGAGAGACAGAGGAGGGAGGAGAGACAGAGGAGGGAGTGACAGAGGAGGGAGGAGAGACAGAGGAGGGAGGAGAGACAGAGGAGGGAGAGACAGAGGAGGGAGGAGAGACAGAGGAGGGAGGAGAGACAGAGGAGGGAGGAGAGACAGAGGAGGGTGAGACAGAGGAGGAGGGAGAGACAGAGGAGGGAGAGACAGAGGAGGAGGGAGAGACAGAGGAGGAGGGAGAGACAGAGGAGGAAGGAGAGACAGAGGAGGGAGGAGAGACAGAGGAGGGTGAGACAGAGGAGGAAGGAGAGACAGAGGAGGAAGGAGAGACAGAGGAGGAGGGAGAGACAGAGGAGGGAGGAGAGACAGAGGAGGGAGGAGAGACAGAGGAGGGAGGAGAGACAGAGGAGGGTGAGACAGAGGAGGAAGGAGAGACAGAGGAGGAAGGAGAGACAGAGGAGGAGGGAGAGACAGAGGAGGAGGGAGAGACAGAGGAGGGAGAGACAGAGGAGGGAGGAGAGACAGAGGAGGAGGGAGAGACAGAGGAGGGAGGAGAGACAGAGGAGGGAGGAGAGACAGAGGAGGGAGGAGGGAGGGAGAGACAGAGGGAATAATGTACATTACAGAAATATAATATTCAGCATTACTTTACTGATCTCATGAGAAAATTCAGCTGTGTCAACAAACAGCCCACTGGGCACACACTGGTTGAATCAACGTTGTTTCCACGTAATTTCAATGACATCAAATCAAATTTTATTTGCCACATGCGCCGAATCCAACAGGTGAAATGCTTACTTACAAGCCCTTAACCAACAATGCAGTTAAATTTTTTTAAATAGCAAATAATTAAAGCAGCAGTAAAATAAAATAACAGTAGGGAGGTTATATACAGGGTGTACCGGTACAGAGGTAATGTACATGTGGGTAGAGTTAAAGTGACTATGCATAAATAATAAACAGAGTAGCAGCAGCGTAAAAGACGGGGTTGGAGTGGGGTGGGGGGGCAATGCAAATAGTCATTGCATTGAACCAACGTGGAATAGACATTGAATTGACGTCTGTGCCCAGTAGGAGTGTTTCAAAATGTCAAAATAATGTTTTGCCCCTAAAACATTCTCAAATACTACAGAAATCATATACAAGGATACTTACTAAAGATATAGATTTCTGCTTTAATCATACAGATTTTTAAATGCTTTTCTATGGAATAAACAGAATTATGTTTATTACAGTCTCTCTGCCACCCCCCCTTATAATTCTCTCTCTCTCTCTCTCTCTCTCTCTCTCTCTCTCTCTCTCTCTCTCTCTCTCTCTCTCTCTCTCTCTCTCTCTCTCTCTCTCTCTCTCTCTATACCTGTGCAGTTCCTCTCCTCCATGGTGAGGGCGAAGCCGCTGCTGCAGCGACACTTGAAGCTGCCGATGGTGTTGCGACAGGTTCCGTGGGAGCACAGGCCGTTGAACACCTTACACTCATTTACATCTATGGAGGGACAACACAATGGACGAACAGCAGGGGTTAGCGGTGGAATTGAACATGGAATCCAGTAATAATCTAAAGAAATGTCTAGTGGTTAAAGAGATTAGACGCTGTGGTTGGTTTGCAACTGCTGGCGTGAGGCCATAATGGTGTGCTTGTTTTGTGTGTAGCTCCTCAGTGTAGTAGTAGGACTTCACTCAGAATCTGTTAGCGTAAGAAACATACCTACTTGTGTTCAGAAGATTATGACTGCTCATGAAGGCTTTATGAATATGTTGTGAATGCTACATTATCCCAACGCAAATTAGAGTGTTACCAAGACTAGATAATAAGTCTTAGTTCCTACCTTTGTAGAAGGGTCTGCCAGTCAGGATGTCTCCTCGGTTGGCGAAGCCTGGTCCTCTGGGGCAGATGGCCTTGTACTCCGGGGTGCCCGCCTTGGGACACTCCTCACAGTCAATGCCCCAGGCCGCGCCCACCGAGCAGCAGCACATGTCAACGCGGTAGCGCCCGGGCAGCGGCTCACCACACTCGTCCTCGTGCCACTTCATGTAGCACTGCTCGCTGCGCACGTCTGAGGGATAGACAGATGGACGGACAACAGTCAGACATACAGAACTTTACGGCTAATGCCACAGTATGCTAACCATGCTAATATTTGTTGTCACCAAATTTGTCTTTTCTCCCATGTAGGTTATCATTCATATTTTATAGTGTATTATAAACTGGGTGTTTCGAGCCCTGAATGCTGATTGGCTGACGGCCATGGTATATCAGATTGTATACCACTGGTATGACCCCAAATTTGTTTTTACTGCTCTTTTTTTTACTGTTACATTGGTAACCAGTTGATAATAGCAATAAGGCACCTCGGGGGTTTGTGGTATATGGCCAATATACCAAGGGCTGTATCCAGGCACTCTGCGTTGCGTCGTGCATAAGAAAAGCCCTTAGCCGTGGTATATTGGCAATATACCACACCCCCTCTGGTCTTATTGCTTAAATATAGTATATGTGTGAAGTCAACAGAAAAGATACATAATAGCCAGTTCTGATTTCAGTTATTATAAAAATGCATGGTGTCTGCCAGAGTTTATGTTGGTGGCAGTGTTGTCTTACCCACGCAGGTGCGTCCACTCCCGTCCAGGGTGAGCCCCTCGCCACACTCACAGCGGAAGGAGCCCTGGGTGTTGACACAGCGCCCGTTGGTACACACCCCCGGGAACACCTCACACTCATTGATGTCTGCAGGGAGGAAATAGGGACAATATTACAAGACTGACTGTGCTCTATGGCTCATCATTTTCTGAGGGAGGGAAGGAAGAACGGAAGGTGAATGGAATACCACAGGGAGGGAGGCAGAGGGTCATTATGGCTGTAAGAATGTCTGCTACCTTCACAGTTGACTGTGTGTGTGTGTGTGTGTGTGTGTGTGTGTGTGTGTGTGTGTGTGTGTGTGTGTGTGTGTGTGTGTGTGTGTGTGTGTGTGTGTGTGTGTGTAGGGGTCGATTAGTGTCTTACCTTCACAGTTGACTCCCTTCATACGAGCGAACCCTCTGGAGCAGGCAGTGTCTGTGGAGAGAGACAGCAGTTACAGTACACACCTCACACTTCATTATGTTTAGTAGGTGTGTGTGTTTGTGTGTGTACTGACCGATCTCGCAGCGTTCACAGGGGCTGCCCCAGGCAGCTCCCAGTGTAGAGCAGCACTCGGACTTGAGCGTGGCGCCGTTGATGTTGACCTCACAGCGGCCATCTTGGATGTTCAGCCAGCACGTTCCCTTCATGCTGTCTGTAGAGGGAGGAGGGGGAGAGAGAAGAGAGGGAGAAAGAGAGCGAGAGAGAGAGGGGTAGGGAAGCGAGAGTGAAAGAGAGAAAGGGAAGAGAAATAGGTAGGAGGGGAAGAGAGGGAAGAAAGAGAGAGAGAGAATGTGAGCAAGTGAAGGCACTCAAGAGAACCCTGCAGAGAAAAGGCACATCAATTCAAATGTACTGTAAAGCATCAACCAACATACACACATCTCTCATTGGTATACTGTACTCCAATCATTCCAAGCACAACAGCACCATCAGTGGAAAGTAATTAAGTACAGCTGTCCCTTCCAACAGCTTCCATCTTACCTCAGCCCAAACTGAGACAAATGCATAATTGACATTAATAATTTGCTATGGCAGTCCTAATGGACTGAGAGCACAGTCAGAACAAATGGGATGTGCATTTGTTCTCCCAAAACCGCAGGCTCACCCAAAACTAAACCACAATTTACATTCTCGCTGCTGAGTGATGGCTTTGAACCAAATATATGACTCTGCTTTGAACAGAAAACAGCGCTATATTCTAAAGTACAGGAATCTATTAGACTGACAAGGCCGGCTCATGTTGGTATTTATTCAAATGACTCATCCCAGATTACCATCTGTAGATGTTCAGATGTGTCTGGACATGTCCTCAAAGCAGACATTGACTTGTTTATTTCGACTAGAATAAGTGTGACACCAATCAGGCCCCCGAGGACTGGAATTTCCCAGGCCTGTTCTAGAAGGCCTATGAAGCTAGAAACTTTGGCTCAAATCCCACTTTTCACTCTGACTGTCTGCTTGATGATGATTCTCCAACAGAAGTTTGTCTCAGGAATACGTTGTTTTTCATTTGTGTCAGATTGAGTCTGCAGTTGTGACAGACGCCTCGTTCTCTTACCCACGCAGATGGTGTTGGTGGAGTCCAGCTTGCTGCCGTGGGAACACTCGCAGTTGAAGGACCCGGCGATGTTGCGGCAGACTCCGTTGACACACGGGCTGGACTCACACTCGTTGATATCTGAAACACATGGATCAGAGCAGGGTTAGGTAAGGCAGAGAAGAGAAGAGCCAGTTAAATGGGTCATCCTTAACAGGCTGTTGAGTGGAGAATGGCTTATAATAACGTCCGTAACGGAGCAAATGGAATGGCATGAAACACCTGGAAACCATGTGTTTGATGTATTTGATACCATTCCACCGATTCCGCTCCAGTCATTACGAGCCCGTTCTCCCCATTAAGGTGCCACCAGCCTCCTGTGATATAGACAGACATGCGTTTACTTCAACAAAGACAGAAAACTTTATGGAAAGTGGTTCAAGGACAGAGGATGTAAGCCAACACATGTTCATATATCTGATGTTCTATTTAACTCCAATCTCTCATGTGTTAAACAGTTGCAGGTGTACACACATCTAGCAGAGTTCACATCTACAACATATAGTCAATGAAACGAAGAGGAATACCAACACAGTTCAGATACTCCTAGCATTTTCAACTGTGGTTGCGCATAAGTATGCTGATATTGAGGCATTAGAAATGTGAGGAGTGTGTGTCTTCTCCATTGGTGTGTGTATGAAGTGTTTACCTTCGCAAGTCTCAGAGTCAGGTTTGAAGACGAAGCCTTTGGGACAGGAGCAGGAGTAGCTGCCGGGGGTGTTTCTACACAGGCCATTGTCACACAGCAGACGGTTCACTAGGCACTCATTGATGTCTGGTAGGTTGAGGAGAAGATGAACAACAGGGTTGACTTATCAAGTGTAACACAAGCCAGCCAAAACAATCAACCCCAGTGTTTGAAACTTTGTTCATATGTCAAAGTCAAGACCACGAAAGTACAGCAGAGGCTGTGAAAAATATGGGATTCAGTTTGACTTTAGATCACTTTTAAGGTATGAAATGGTCTGATAAACTTTAATTTGGGTCACTGATTTTTCCAACAGACATTGGATACAGGAAGACTGGACTCACCCACGCAGTTCTTGCCGCTGGAGTCGGACTCGTAGCCGATGTTACAGATGCAGCGGTAGCTCCCTCTCAGGTTCTCACACATGCCGTTCTGACAGATGTCTGGGTCCAAGGCACACTCGTTGATGTCTGAGGAGACACACAGGAACAAACCCACATGAGCCACAGCCCACCACAAACCACAGCCTTAGCTTTCAGCTCTCTCCAACCTACAGATTCCTTTTCTTCACTTTCCCTTTTTTCTCTCTTTGATTTGAAATTCGGAGCAAGATTCACACCTTTCTGAGGGACGCATTGTAATGTTTGAGGGGAGGCCTGTTAAATGCCAGAATAACTAGCAGTGATTGTAGGACAAGCTCCAAACCACAGATACCTAACATTAAACAGTACCAGTCACATGACTCACCTCTGCCGTCAGCAGTAATGCCAATCCCACTGCTGCACACTGCCTGGAACTCAGCTGAAAGCCAAGAAAATGACCTGTAAGTCACCTGCTAATATATCCAGTGTAACAAAAAAATCACAATTTACATTATAATTCTAACAATCACTTCTGCAGTATTTGGTAGAGTTCTACAGGATCTTAGCCTGGAATCTAAACTGATATGAACAATATTGTGAAGTGAAACAATAGTGAAACAGAGCATATCAGCTTGGATTCCAGGCTAACAGGATCTGAATGACAGCACAAGTAAACCAATTATGTTTTCTGGTGTGGTTAGGGTTAGTCAGTCACCTGAGTTGCGGGCAGGACAGGGTTGGCAAGGCTCTCCGAAGCCGTGATCAGGACTGGCACAGCAGCACTCAGACTTGGTGACGGCGCCAGGGAAGGGCCGCGAGCACGTGCCCATCTTGATGGCACCGTAGCAGGTGGTACGCATGTGTGTGTCGACACACACTCTCCCATCCACGTCGATGGCCAGGCCCGGTGGGCACTCACAGCGGAAGGAGCCCTCAGAATTGATACATCGTCCATTCATACAGATGCCTGGTGTCTGGCACTCATCAATGTCTGAGGGAGGAGAGAAGGGGAGAGATATGATGATGGTACTTGTGCCACATGGCTGGCAATACAGTCATGGAATCACTCAAATGTAATCTACATAACATTTCTTATCAGCTACTTTTATTACCTTCAAAGTCCTTAACAGTGACAGCCAAAATGCAAGCTAAGGTGACAGTGGCCTAGAAACACCCTTAGATACTAAGAAACCTTTTGAGAGGATCCACATCCAGAAATTATACCAGATGACGTACCTGTGCAGTAACGTCCGTTAGGTGCCAGGGCGAAGCCAGGTTTGCAGATACACTTGAAGCTTCCGTCCTCGTTGATACACATTCCATTGAGACACATGTTGGTGGTGGCACACTCATCATGATCTGGTTGAAGAAATGGAGGTGAATTAGGCTTTCTACCACGTAGGCTTTCTACCACGTAGGCTTTCTACCACGTAGGCTTCCTGCCACGTAGGCTTCCTGCCACGTAGGCTTCCTGCCACGTAGGCTTCCTGCCACGTAGGCTTTCTTCCACGTAGGCTTTCTACCACGTAGGCTTTCTTCCACGTAGGCTTTCTACCACGTAGGCTTCCTGCCACGTAGGCTTTCTGCCACGTAGGCTTCCTGCCACGTAGGCTTCCTGCCACGTAGGCTTTCTACCACAAACAAATGACTGTAACCTAGTAACATACAGTATGTGATTACCATGTAACAGGCCTGTAGGTGTAGACCATGCAGTTAGAGAGTAAGGTATGTGTGTGTAGCTCACCTATGCAGTTCTTCCCATCAGGAGTGAGCTCAAAGCCAGCGTTGCAGATGCACTGGAAGCTTCCGTCAGTGTTGACACAACGTCCGTTACGACACATCACTCCGTTTACGATGCACTCATCAATATCTGGGGAGGGAGGGAGGGAGGGGGAGGGAGGGGGAGGAAAGGAGGGAGGGGGAGGGGGGTTTAGGCTTAGTTTGACTGTTAGCCAGGTTAGGTACCAGTCTGTTTCTGTTCTGGACACCTTGTGGTGTTGTTACAAGCAGAGTCAGTCAGTGGGCCAACGTACCCAGTCTATCCATACAATACAACCGTTGTAATAAACAATTATAATGTTCTATAGTTGTTCTGGTGAGTGATTGGAACATACCAATGCAGGCCTGTTTGGTGGGGGTTCCCTGGTAGCCTTCGTGACACTTGCAGTGGTACGATCCAGGTGTGTTGACACAGTCTCCGTTGACACAGGGGTTGCTGACGCACTCATCCACATCTGAAGGAGGGAGGCGATGAAGAAATATGAGTTTATCAGTGCAACCCAGGATGCTCCAATTACAAATCTGAACACTCCCATATGTGTTAAAAAAGGTGAAAGAATCAATGCTATTGTGTAAGTATACCCTGAGTTTTACATCTACCAGAGACGTTATGTGTGTGGTCAGAAGATGGCAGTAGAGTGTATGTCATTTTCCTAACTGTAATGACTGCAGTGGGTTTACCAATACACTCCCCGCGTACATCCTGTCTGTAGCCCATGTTACATTCACAGCGGTAGCTGGTCGGGGTGGGGATACAGCGGCCGTTCAAACACAGGTTGGTGAAATGTTTACACACGTCAACGGTCTCATTGACTGACACAGGGACTGAGGATACACAACACAACACACAATCACATTACAATACATTACAATACATTATCACACAATGTTTATAATTTATTAAAACACAGTGAAGAAAAGTTTATGAAAAGCCATAGACTATTCTCTCTTCTTCCGCATGGCAAGCAGTACCCAAGCAAGTCTGACACCAACAGGCTCCTGAACAGCTTCTATCCCCAAGACTGCTAAATAGCTAACTAAATGGCTACATGGACTATCTGCAATTACGTTTTTATTGCACTGACTCTATGCACACTCACAGGACCCTACACACACACTCACTTACACACACTCACACTGACACTCCAACACACACACACACACACACACACACACACACACTTAATTTGCTCACACACACATAACACGCACACACATTTATACTGACTCTACACACACACACGCTCACATACAATCATCTTATACACTGCTGCTGTCACGCCCTGACTCAGAGGACGCTTATATGTTGAGTCAGGGTGTGTATATTCCTTGTTGTGATGTTCTATGTTGTATTTTCTATGTTTAGATCTAGTATGTCTAGATCTATGTTGGCCGGTGTGGTTCCCAATCAGAGGCAGCTGTCGCTCGTTGTCTCTGATTGGGGACCATACTTAGGCAGCCTATTGGCACTAGTGGGTTGTGGGATCTTGTTTCGTGTTAGGTATGTTGTTTGTGTACCTTGGACTTCACGTTTCGTTTCTTGTTTTGTCGTTGTGTTTAATAGTCAAATAAACATGTATGCATATCACGCTGCGCCTTGGTCTGACCCGTTCATGAACGAACGTGACAGCTGCTACTCTGTTTATCATACGCTATATATACAAAAGTATGTGTACACCCCTTCAAATTAGTGGATTCTACTATTTCAGCCACAAAAATCATCTGTCCTCTGTTTCAACACTCACTACCTAGTTCCAAACTGCCTCTGGAAGCAAGGTCAGCACAATAACTGTTAGTTTGGAGCTTCATGAAATGGGTTTCCATGGCCGAGCAGCCGCACACAAGCCTAAGATCACCATGCGCAATGCCAAGTGTTGGCTGGAGTGGTGTAAAGCTCGCCACCATTGGACTCTAGAGCAGTGGAAACGCGTTCTCTGGAGTGATGAATCACACTTCACCATCTGGCAGTCTGATGGACTAATCTAGGTTTGGTGGATTTCAGGAGAACGCTACCTCCCCGAATGCACAGTGCCAACTGTAAAGTTTGGTGGAGGAGGAATAATGGTCTGGGGCTGTTTATCATGGTTCAGACTAGGCCCCTTAGTTCCAGTGAAGGGAAATCTTAACGCTACAGCATACAATGACATTCTAGATGATTCTGTGCTTCCAACTTTGTGGCAACAGTTTGGGGAAAGCCCTTTCCTGTTTCAGCATGACAATGCCCACGTGCACAAAGCGAGGTCCATACCAAAATGGCTTGTCGAGATCGGTGTGGAAGAACTTGACTGGCCTGCACAGAGCCCTGACCTCAACCCCATCGAACACCTTTAGGATGAATTGGAACCCCAACTGCGAGCCAGGCCTAATCGCCCAACATCAGTGCCTGACCTCACTAATGCTATTGTGACTGAATGGAAGCAAGTCCCCGCAGCAATGTTCCAACATCAAGTGGAAAGCCTTCCCAGAAGAGTGAAGGCTGTTATAGCAGCAAAAGGGGGACCAACTCCATATTAATGCCCATGATTTTGGAATGAGATGTTCGACGTGCAGGTGTCCACATACTTTTGGTCATGTAGTGTATATCCTGATGCCTTATCCCTATACATTACTACCTCTACCACTCCATTATCCCTGCACATTGTAAATATGGTATTGGCACTGACCCTGTATACATAGCTTACTTCATTTATCATGTTCTTATTTCTATTTCTCGTGTGTTTTTACTTTATTTTATAGTACTACGGATATTGGTTACTGCATTGTTTGGAAAGAGCTTCCAATAAAGGCATTTCACTGTACTTGTGCAGGTGACAATAAAACTTGAAGTTACTCCCATCATTATTTTGACATTCAGGTTAGTTTCCTTGAGTTACAATCGCTTCTCCAAAATACCCAGTCCAATGCCGCGTTCAAAACAACTTAAGGAATCTTAAGGTCGGAGCTCTAGAAAGAATTTTCCCAGTCAGAGATCGTTTTTTTCAGAGTTCCCAGTTGTCTTGAATGCGCTGAAGTCAGAGGTTTCCGAGTTCCGAGCTCCCAGTTGTTTTGAACGCGGCACAAGACCTGATCGACAGGTTAAAAGATCAATAGGTCATAAACTCAGTTTAAACACTCTAATATCTCTGATACAAAACTTAAAACCACAGGCTAATAATGCAACACTACCCTATGGACACATGTCGTGGCCTAACCAACTCACCGATATTACGGCCGCCGCCGTTTCCTCCAAAACCATTGCCTCCTCCTCCCTGTCCCCCTCCTCCGATTCCTCCTCCTCCGATTCCTCCCCCGTTGCCATGGTGACCGTTTCCGTTAGGCCCGTTGGGGTTGAGTTTGTAGCCATAGCTGTAACCGTGACCGTTGCCGCCACCGTTGGGATAGCCGCCACCATTGGGGAAGCCTCCGTGGGGGAAACCTCCGTTACCTGTGCCATGGGGCACCCCTTCGATGCACAGCCTTCTGTACTCATCTACGGGGAAGAGGATGGAAAGGGTTATCTTCAATGAAAATGACATGCATGCACGTTTTGTCATGGTTTGGGTCAGTTTTACCTATTTTGATACAGTGCCTTGCAAAAGTATTCATCCCCCTTGGCGTTTTTCCAATTTTGTTGCATTACAACCTGTAATTTAAATGGATTTTTATTTGGATTTCATGTAATGGACATTCACAAAATAGTTCAAATTGGTGAAGTGAAATGAAAAAAATTACTTGTTTCAAAATATTCTACAAAATATATAACAGAAAAGTGGTGCATGCTATGAAGCCCCTAAATAAGATCTGGTGCAACCAATTACCTTCAGAAGTCACATAATTAGTTAAATAAAGTCCACCTGTGTGCAATCTAAGTGTCACATGATCTGTCACATGATCTCAGTATATATACACCTGTTCTGAAAGGCCCCAGAGTCTGCAACACCACTAAGCAAGGGGCACCACCAAGCAAGCGGCACCATGAAGACCAAGGAGCTCTCCAAACAGGTCAGGGACAAAGTTGTGGAGAAGTACAGATCAGGGTTGGGTTATAAATAAATATCAGAAACTTTGAACATCCCACGGAGCACCATTAAATCCATTATAAAACAATGGAAAGAATATGGCACCACAACAAACCTGCTAAGAGAGGACCGCCCACCAAAACTCACAGACCAGGCAAGGAGGGCATTAATCAGAGAGGCAACAAAGAGACCAAAGATAACCCTGAAGGAGCTGCAAAGCTCCACAGCAGAGATTGGATTATCTGTCCATAGGACCACTTTAAGCCTTACACCGCAAACATATGGAAGTAGGTACTCTGGTCAGATGAGACTAAAATGTAGCTTTTTGGCCATCAAGGAAAACGCTCTATCTAGCGCAAACCCAACACCTCTCATCACCTGAGAACACCATCCCCACAGTGAAGCATGGTGGTGGCAGCATCATGCTGTGGGATGTGTTTCATCGGCAGGGACTGGGAAACTGGTCAGAATTGAAGGAATGATGGATGGCGCTAAATATAGGGAAATTCTTGAGGGAAACCTGTTTCAGTCTTCCAGAGATTTGAGACTGGGATGGAGGTTCACCTTCCAGCAGGACAATGACCCTAAGCATACTGGTAAAGCAACACTCGAGTGGTTTAAGGGGAAACATTTAAATGTCTTGGAATGGCCTAGTCAAAGCCCAGACCTCAATCCAATTGAGAATCTGTGGTATGACTTAAAGATTACTGCACACCAGTGGAACCCATCCAACTTGAAGGAGCTGGAGCAGTTTTGCCTTGAAGAATGGGCAAAAATCCCAGTGGCTTGATGTGCCAAGCTTATAGAGACATACCCCAAGAGACTTGCAGCTGTAATTGCTGCAAAAGGTGAATAGTTATGCACGCTCAAGTTTTCTGTTTTTTTGTCTTATTTCTTGTTTGTTTCACAACAAAAAATATTTTGCATCTTCAAAGTGGTAGGCATGTTGTGTAAATCAAATGATAGAAACCCCCCCAAAAAATAAACTTTAATTTCAGGTTGTAAGGCACCAAAATAGGAAAAATGCCAAGGGGGGTGAATACTTTTGCAAGCCACTGTAGTATACATATGGGTCAGTGGTTGCATAAACTCACACACTGGCACAATGCCTGGACATGATTATGGCTGTAAAAAGGGGTTGTATATGTATGAACCTGATCTGATCTCCACTACCTTGAGGATCTCACACTGTCTATACAGTTGAAGTCGGAAGTTTCCATACACCTTAGCCAAATACATTTAAACTCAGTTTTTCACAATTCCTGACATTTAATCCTAATAAAAATTCCCTGTTTTAGGTCAGTTAGGATCACCACTTTATTTTAAGAATGTGAAATGTCAGAATAATAGTAGAGAGAATGATTTATATCAGCTTTTATTTCTTTCATCACATTCCCAGTGGGTCAGAAGTTTACATACACTCAATTAGTATTTGGTAGCATTGCCTTTAAATTGTTTAACTTGGGTCAAACGTTTCAGGTAGCCTTCCACAAGCTTCCCACAATAAGTTGGGTGAATTTTGGCCCATTCCTCCTGACAGAGCTGGTGTAACTGAGTCAGGTTTGCTCCTTGCTCGCACACGCTTTTTCAGTTCTGCCCACACATTTTCTATAGGATTGAGGTCAGGGCTTTGTGATGGCCACTCCAATACCTTGACTTTGTTGTCCTTAAGCCATTTTGCCACAACTTTGGAAGTATGCTTGGGGTCATTGTACATTTGGAAGACCCATTTGCGACCAAGCTTTAACTTCCTGACTGATGTCTTGAGATGTTGCTTCAATATATCCACATCATTTTCCTTCCTCATGATGCCATCTATTTTGTGAAGTGCACCAGTCCCTCCTGCAGCAAAGCACCCCCACAGCATGAGTCTACCACCCCCGTGCTTCACGGTTCGGATGGTGTTCTTTGGCTTGCAAGCCACCCCCTTTTTTCTCCAAACATAGCGATGGTCATTATGGTCAAACAGTTCTATTTTTGTTCCATCAGACCAGAGGACATTTCTCCAAAAAGTACAATCTTTGTCCCCATGTGCAGTTGCAAACCGTATTCTGGCTTTTTTATGGCGGTTTTCGAGCAATGGCTTCTTCCTTGCTGTGCAGCCTTTCAGGTTATGTTGATATAGGACTCGTTTTACTGTGGATATCGATACTTTTGTACCTGTTTCCTCCAGCATCTTCACAAGGTCCTTTGCTGTTGTTCTGGGATTGATTTGCACTTTTCGCACCAAAGTACGATCATCTGTAGGAGACAGAACGCATCTCCTTCCTGAGCGGTATTATGGCTGCGTGGTCCCATGGTGTTTATATGTGCGTACTATTGTTTGTACAGATGAACGTGGTACCTTCAGGCATTTGGAAATTGCTCCCAATGATGAACCAGACTTGTGGAGGTTTACAAACAACATTCTGAGGTCTTGGCTGATTTCTTTTGATTTTCCCACGATGTCAAGCAAAGAGGCACTGGGTTTGAAGGTAGGCCTTGAAGTACATCCACAGGTACACCTCCAATTGACAAATGATGTCAATTAGCTTATCAGAAGCTTCTAAAGCCATGACATCATTTGCTGGAATTTCCCAAACTGTTTAAAGGCACAGTCAACTTAGTGAATATACATTTCTGACCCACTGGAATTGTGATACAGTGAATTATAAGTGAAATAATCTGTCTGTAAACAATTGTTGGAAAAATTACTTGTGTCATGCACAAAGTAGATGTCCTAACTGACTTGCCAAACCTATAGTTTGTTAACAAGACATTTGTGGAGTGGTTGAAAAACAAGTTTTAATGACTCCAACCTAAGTGTATATAAACTTCTGACTTCAACTGTATCTATCTCTATATATACAGTATCTATGTGTGTTTGTCAGCATGTGAAATCGCTTGCATGTGAGTGTATGTTTTCCATGTTGTATGGCAGGTAGCCATCTCCTAGCAAAGGATACAGAGAACACACACACACAAAACACACACACACACACACACACACACACACACACACACACACACACACACACACACACACACACACACACACACACACATACACATAAACTGAGTGAACCCCAGAGGAGGAAATAGCCAAAGGGAGGCCTCCCACCATAATGTGTGTGTGTGTGTGTTTGTGTGTGAGAGTACAGCTCGGCACTCATTCATACAAACAATCACAAATACATGAAAGTATTAAGTATGAACACACACTCTCACAGGGGAATAGACCTGCGGTAGGTCCAAGCTGTTCAAGCTGTTCATTCATACCACATATGCAAAAGGAGTGTTTGGACTCCCTTTGGACTGTGGGTCAGTAGTGGTAAGTGTGTGTGTGTGTGTGTGTGTGTGTGTGTGTGTGTGTACTCACCGGATCCCCTGACAGGGCACATCTCAGGGATCTGTCCAGATGCCCAGCAGCGGCCCGTGTCACAGCAGCACTGCATCTTGGTATACTGGCCCTGCAGGTCGCCCGCACAGCGCCCGCTCGCCAACGCCGAGAAACACGTGCCCACACGCTGGTCTGAGGAGGGCGAGGATGGAGGGAGAAGTGGAGAGAAAGAGAGATGGGAAGAGAGGTCAGTATGCTTCAGTGTGAGTCACTCAAATCACTCATGACCTGTGTTGTAACAGGGTTGACTTCCAGGTCATGTAGAAAATCTACTGTAACTCTTTCAACTTTAAGCAGACCATATTATAATGCATGTGCTTTAACATACTGTAAATATTCTGGTGACCAAGTATAAATACAATACTGAAGTGTTTCACAAATGTGGGTCACAGACAGTTTCTACTGGCTCACAGTGTACGGTTGTGACGGGAAACAGGGGTTTGTACATTCTTGAGGAACACAAGACAATTCAGAAGCCTTCAGCACAAAAAGGCCTGACAAACACCTCCCTACCACACAGAGGTGTGGTTCCTCCAGCCCTGACGAGGGGATACAGGTAACAGCTGTCCCCAAATACCAGGGCTGCCTCTCCCCTGGAAGTCTCCCCCTGCCTGCCCTCTACATGGTAGCCTGGGAGGAAGCTAATTTATGGTCTGGGAGCTGTAAAGGTCTGAGGGGACCTGACTAACTGCAGGCATCACAAGGGCCTCCTAATTTGGTCTTGTTTGTTACAGTCTCTCAGGTCAGGGTCAGTTGGGTGGAGGAGGGAGGGGGAGGGAGGGAGGGACGCAGGGAGGGAAGAGGGTGTTTGGGGTAAGTGGAGAAGAAGTGAGGGTCCCTTAGTGCGTATGTGTGTTTGTGTGTAATGCAGATGAAAGTGATGGGGGAAAGAGAGGAGCAGGGGAAGGAGGAGTGCAAGTCGATTAACTTGGCTAATGAGGCAGCAGTCTGGAATTAATCAGCTCCATGTGGAGCAATCCTGGCCAATTATATTATACATGAGAAGCTGTGCATCTAGGGTTTACAGCCGAACTTTCCCCCTTGCTTCGACCCTCCCTCCCTCCCTAGGACCAACCCAGCTGGGGGCAGGATTGGGGGAGGATGGGTGTGGAGGGGTGGGAATAGGGGAGCAGAGAGGGGGAGAGAGGAGAGAGGGAAAGTGGTGATGGGGATGATGATAACTTAAATTGGAACCAGACCCTTAGCTAGCTAGTCTATAGCAAGCCGCACAAACACATGCTTTCTCTTTTACAGACTGGGTTTTCACAGTGCGACGGACGGAGCATTAGGGCTGATTAGTGTTGGGCTCAACAGGTCCCTTCGGTCTGTTTCTCCACGCTATGCTGCTAGAGTTGACATTCCTGAACCTGGAGCCCCCCGCTCACTTCATGTAATCTGGGTCAGGTCAAAGAGGAAACCAGAGGTGGATGGGGGAGGAAGGGGGAGGAGTAGTTTCTTAGTCTACCTCCACTTGCAAAACACACCCAAGCAAACAGGGCCGAGTCGGCCGACACACCAGGGGAGCCAGCCATAGCATGCTTCTGGCTGGAGCTGAGGATATATGGTGGGATGTGTCATTGTGTCAGACAGGGCCTGATATCACAACTCTCTTTTATTTGTTCCTGGGGACTCTACAGGTCATCGTGTTACACTAGACAGATGGATGAGCGCTCAGGGTGAGAAGCGAGGGAAAGAGAAAACAGGGGGAAAGAGGAAAAGGGCCTGGAGGAGAGAAGGAGAAAGAAAGAGAGCAGGGGGTGGAAGGAGAGGGAGTGTGAGAGAAATGGTCTGTCCCCTTAGAGAGAGAGAGAGAGAGAGAGAGAGAGAGCGAGCGCTGTGATACCATACGGCCAGCAGCTCATTTTCCCAATCAGGCTACGCTTCCCTCTCCTCCTTCTATTCCCTCTCCTCCTTCTCTTTCCTCTCCTCATTCCTCAGCGCCAGCTTTTCTCTCAGTCATTGGAGGCTCTCTTCCTTCCTCTCCCTTCTATTCATTACTCTTTCTTCTCTTCTCTTCTTTTCCTCTCCTCCTTCTCTTCCCCTCCTCCTTCTATTCCCCCTCCTCCTGCTCTTCTCGCTCCTCCTTCTCTTCCCACCCCTTCTTATTTTCCTCTCTCCCACTGCTCTACACCTTTGTTGCGACACAGAACAACAGAGAAAGGGGATCGTTTGGATAGTTTTTTCCTCCTCTCCTCCCTCTCTTTTCTGTCTCGTCTTGCTTGTTGTCGTGGTGGTGTCAGCTTTGTTCTCCTGCAGGCCTCTAAGTGAGTCCAGATGTCTTCTACCTTGACGCTAAACAATCTGCCACACAACCAGGCCAGGCAGAACAGAACAGAAGAGAACAGATGCCTCCTTGTGAGATCAACGTTGACCCTGTTCATTGTTCGCTTGGCATTTCCACCCCATTTCCCTTTTTTTTGTCAAAAGACAACAAACAAGTACAGCAGAGATTTGATTGCCTGCCAAAGAGAGCGGGGGGCCAACAAAACGTTGACCCGGGAGAGAATTTGAATAAGGCATTCTGCTGCCTAGTAGACTTTGGGTCGCACAACTTTTCAATTAAAGTAATCAAGGGGTTCTGCTTGGCTATGAGTGGGGCCTTGAATGAAGGACAGTTATTGGACTCCCATTCGGACGCTGTTGAAAAGCAACAGAGCCAGCTCTCTGGCGGCCATTTTGAGACAAGCTGCTGGAGATTGCAGGCGCTCTACATTAACACCTGGTAGTGTTTCAGGGTGTGAGTCAAATAGGTGCTAATGCTAAATGTTATTACAGCATTCGAGCGCACGTGACCTGCGGCAGACCTTCTTGACTCATCAGAACACTAGTCACAGGAGGGAGGGAGGGGGGAGAGGGAGGGAGGGAGGGAGGGAGAGAGAGAGAGAGAGAGAGAGAGAGAGAGAGAGAGAGAGAGAGAGAGAGAGAGAGAAGCCCAGATGTGAGCAGGCAGTGGCTACAGGAGGGTGAGGGAGGGGTTTGTGTGTGTTTGGAGGGGGCAGCAGTAACTCACCTACACATCTGGCACCGTCAGTGCTTGTGATGTAACCACGGGGACAGGTGCAGACGTAGCTGCCGGCTGTGTTGGTGCATTCACCTCCGTCACACACACCTGGGATAGTGCTGCACTCGTCAATATCTGAAACACACACACAAACAATTAGATCATTGGAGTTAGAGAATACACTGAGCTTCATCTTAGTCATACACTTATTACACACACAGTAAATCAAAACCCTGTCACAGGCATTGTTTGGAAGAATTCCTTTTCCTTGAATGCAGCTGTTCAAAGTCTTTGGATCTCTCTAAAATACTTGAAGAAGTGGACGATATCTCAGCTGTCAAAATGCACTTGAGGACCTCAAATAATCACAACTCATAACAACTCTAAAGACAAGAGCAGGACCTACTGCTAGACACAGTCAAGACAACCTGAGTGAAGGTCTGAAGGGAGGAGGCGGTCATATGGAAAATCTCTGTGTTCGTTTTCTGCCAAAGACTCATGACTTTATTTCTCTCTGGTCTACACTTATCAATGTCCAACACACCTCAGTGGACTTCATAACTGTGGTGGATTTTAAGAGGTTTAAATAGTGAGAGTTTCCCACACACACACCATGGGAGCAATTCAGCTGCCCCAGAGAGATTACACTAGACCTGGGAGGCAGCAGTAAAGAGCTGGTGTGTGTGTGTGTGTGTATGTATGTGTGTGCACACACCTGTGTGTATGTGTGTGTGAGTTAGCCAGGACTTGGCAGGGTCTACTCTTCTGTGTAGTGTATTACAGTATATTACCCTACACATGAAAACGCAGGTACCAGAAGGTATTGGGTTTTTATGACGTGCTACCACTTATCTATACACATACATAATGACCTTTATTTGGTCAAATTACAGTATGCGTGTGTGTATTCCATGGCGTGTGAGAGTCGTGGTGGCGTGCCGTAAATGTGTGTGTGCAGTCGGCGGGTATGCATTAGTGGTGTGTGTGTGTTGACAGTGGGTATGCAGTAATGCTGTCTATGGGGCTGTGTGTGTGTGTGTGTGTGTGTGTGTGTGTGTGTGTGTGTGTGTGTGTGTGTGTGTGTGTGTGTGTGTGTGTAATGACGCACACAGTGGGAAGTTAAGAGCCACTGGGTCCCCTGCTGACTATTGTCTGACTGCAGTGGTAAAAGGTTCTCCTCAAGTCATATATAAAAGAGTAGCAAAATAAACGTGGCGTCAGCATTCCCCCTGAATAGGAGCAGACTTTACACAGCTCAGACATGGAGAGCTGTGTGGCGCTGTGTGTGTGGAGGGAAATGTCTGCCACCTGGATAAATGACCACTGTTCAATCATCATAGTCTGTGTTGTGAGACAGTGTGTATGTCGGTCTCTGCATGTGTGAGAAAGTGTGTATGTGTGTCGGTATAGTATGTGTGTAAGTGTGTATGTCTGCACAGTATCTGTGTGTGTGTGTGTGTGTGTGTGTGTGTGTAACTGTGTATGTCTGTACAGTATGTGTGTGTGTGTGTGTGTGTGTGTGTGTGTAACTGTGTATGTCTGTACAGTATGTGTGTGTGTGTGTGTGTGTGTGTGTGTGTGTGTGTGTGTGTGTGTGTGTGTAACTGTGTATGTCTGTACAGTATGTGTGTGTGTCTGTCTATAAGTGGCAGACGTCCTTGTATATAACACAGAAATCATCTCTGCTCTTTAAGTGTTTCTTTGTGCTAGCACTAACAGCTGGTCCTGGGCCAGTAGTCTGTATTTATCTAAGGAAAATGGGGGGCAAAAAAGGAGTGGAAAAAAAACAACAACTATGAAATCAGGTAGGTTGCTTTGGCCTAGAAGAACTACCTCCCTGACATCTTAACAGCTCCAAGGCTGGCTCCACAGGAACATGAGGCCATGTTGGTGCATAAACTTGGAGGGCATTTTGAAACCCATTTTCCCTTTGGAAAACAGATGGTTGTCTGTGATGTCTTAACTGAACAAAATGGGGCCTGAATCTCTCAATCTCAGAGCTGTGCTATTTGAGGTATCTGGGCATTTATAGTTATGGATGGTTCAACTCAGTATTCTCTACCCTTTAATGGGCTTTGGAATGCTTGATGTTTTGAAACTAAAAACTGACTGCCCCACTTAAGTTATAACACAATGTTCCCTAAAAGCAGCCCCATCCACCATCCAACCCCCACCTTGGCCCAAGCGAAGCCCATGTACAGAGCCTCAGGCTTGGGGCTGTAATTAGTTAACCTCCAAGGACCTCCACCCCCATACGCTGCCTCTCACCCCACCAGGCTTCAAAGACTACAGGGCATAGGTCACCTCTCCTGCTTGTCCAGCCAATAGGCCTCCAGCCATCATAAGGTCATAGCACAATCCAGCCTTTCAGTGGGACTGTGATAGGACAGCTGCCGGTGTGTGTCATCACATGACCAGCTAATTTGACATTCACATATTGTCCATAATGTCTCTACACACCATTCAAATACATATATATATATATATTTATATTCCGGAATCTGGTCCGGAAGCTAATTTCCTGCAATTCTATCAATTTTGCTTAGGAGTTTTGTACTGTGTATTTAAATACTGTATTCTTGACATTGCTCATTCTAATATTTCTACTACTGTACATTGCAATTTAGTTACATTGTTTATACACACCGCATAGTTATTTATATACTGGATTCTTGATCTAGCTCACTATAATATAGCTACTGCTGTACATATCATTCTTAGTATATCTTGTGTAAATTCATCCGGTGTATATAGATTGCATTTGGATTACAGTTACAGTGCTATTTGGGTTACTAATTGGTTTCGTTCCAACATTTTTTGATTTGTTGATGTTTTTTTAAAAGCTGCAATATGTAACTTTTTGGGCAACCTGACAAAATTCACATAGAACTGTGAGTTATAGATCTGTAATTCCCATTGAAAGCAAGTCTAAGAAGTGGTAGATCTGTTCTATGTATGCTATTTCTATGCTTCCCATTTTAAGTTTCATCTTTTACTTTCAGTTTTGTACACCAGCTTCAAACGGCTGAAAATACAAAAATGTTGGTTATTTAAAATATTTTTCACAGCGGTTTAGATGGTACAATGATACGATACTTGCTTGTTTGGTCACATAAACTGAAATTAGGTTAACTATTCGAATTTTAGCAACCTGGAAATGGCAGAGCGATTTCTGCATAGTGAATCTTGAAATATATATATTTTTAAATATTTGTGTACTTGTTTGACATTTACTTCATTGTTAGGAGCTAGTAACATAAGCATTTTGCTGCACCTGCTATAACATCTGCTAAACTGTGTACGCGACCAATACATTTTTATTTGATTTTATTTAGAGGCTCCATCAGGTATATGAGTGTTTCTAACCCTTCATTTACCCTCAGGGTCTACTGATATCTCCCAGCTGATCTCTCTCTCTCTCTACCGCTGTTACTGGACACCCAGGCCCTGTTCAAATACTCTTAAAATGCACCCTTCCTTCCTTCCTTCTTTCCTTCCTTTAGCTAATCACAGATCAGAAAGTGATTGGATAAGTAAAAGAAAAAGTACCACCCTATTGTTCTCCCTAACATAACTCTCTCAGACCAACTCTCTCCTTCTTTAAGCAAGGAAGGAAGGAAGGAAGGAAGGAAGGAAGGAAGGAAGGAAGGAAGGAAGGAAGGAAGGAAGGAAGGAAGGAAGGAAGGAAGGAAGGAAGGAAGGAGGAAAGGAAGAATTTCCAAAGTATTTGAGCAGAGCCTGAGTTTCTCTCCATCACTCAACAGGGCATCATCAGCCCTGGTTCTATGGTAGTTAATGATATGAGGGAGGGGAGCCCTGGGAACTGACCAGAGGAGGCTGGTGGGAGGAGCTATAGGAAGATAGGATTTTAATGGCTAGAATGGAATATATGGAACAAAGTCAAACATGTGGTTGCCATATGTTTGATGTGTTTTCTACCGTACCATTTATTCCATTCCAGCCATTACAATGAGCCCGTCCTCCTATAGCTCCTCCCACCAGCCTCCTCTGGAACTGACTGGGTGTGGAGTGAGGTGGGTAAAGGACCTACTATTGGCCACGGTCTGCTCTGCCCTATCACTTAATGCTTGGGTTCTAAAAGTTGGGTCCGTGGAGGTCTGTGGCCAGATCTCCCCAAAAATATTTACAGTGTATATTATTATATATTTTTACATTACTAACTTTTTAATAAATATTAATAACAAAAGATTAAACGACTTTTGGCCATGGGATCCGTCTAATAGGTTTAAAGTGTGTAACACAATACTAATATATTAATAATATTATTAATCTACAATGTATGTTCTTAACCCTGGGCAACATGGGCCTGGGAGGCTCACAGGGATATTGGTATCCGCAGTACAATTATCAATTTTTAAACTGAAAAATATTCCATTTTATTTTTGTACATAAATGCACTCACTGTATTTTAAGCTTTAAAACTGCAAAGTTTTCTCTCTGCCTCATGGCAAAATGTGTAGAATTGCAGGAAATTAGCTTGAAAACTGAAAAAGAAAATCTCAGATGCCAAGAGGCGGGACTTTTAAATGTTCTTTCCCCGGGCCCGAGACTTGGTTCGTCCAGCCATGCACTGCAGACGTCATAGTAAAAACTCCTTGTAGACTATCAGGGGGTCCCTGATTAATTTGCTATTACAAAAGGGGTCCCCGACCCCAAAAAGTTTGAGAATCCCTGACTTAATGAATCCCTAAGATCAGTGATTATTACAATGCCTCTTTCTGCCTGTGAGGAGTCAGGGGATGGTTTGTACACCATAACCATAACACAATTACACTCCTAGACAGCATATCAGACAGTGTAGTTAAGTGGGTAAAATACCTCTGGCTGAAACAGTCCCAGAGCTCTTTCCAACCTCCCCAAAGACTAGGAAACCATCCAAGACCTACAGCTCCCGCCTTGCAAAGTGCCTCAGCCTGCCTGTTTGTTTAAATTGTTTAAATTCCACCCAATCAACACATAGCAATGCGACCCCTCACTGGAGTGTGTGTGTGTGTGTGTGGATTTCCATATCAGTGACCAGATAACCACAGAAGCCAATTGTCACTGGCTGTCTGGCAAAAGTATTCAAAACACTGATAGTAGTGTATAACGAAACCCTGCCAAAAAAACAAAACAATGGATCTACGCTCGCAATTCAAAACCCCTCCTCTAATTCTTAACTGAACCTACTTTAATTTAAGACCAATATGTTTTCCATTACATTAATTCACTGTACGTAATACATTCCAGTTTGTTATATAATGTGTATAATAATATGGTATTACCACAGAGGTTGAGTGAGTGGGCTGTGTGTGACTCACCTTCGCACTTGTGGCTGGTGTCACTCTGGCGATGGCCCGCGGGACATTTACACTCATAGGAGCCCACTGTGTTGATACAGTTACCTCCTGCACACAGCCCGGGGATGGCCTGACACTCATCCACATCTAGAGAAGGGAGAGGGGGAGTGGGGGGGGGGAATTGAGAGAGGGAAAGAGAGGAATAGAAAGAGAACGGAGACCATTAGCACAAATAAGCAGCACTTAACATGAGCTGCTTTCAGAGATGCTGTTTAAGTACTCTGAGTCTGCTCTTAATGAGCGAAGAATCTCCTAAAGCTTTACTGCCCGCCCACTAACCTTGATTCAGATGGAGTCTATAAATGTGGTTGACATTTTTTGGATTTTAAGCTCTGTGATATACAGCATCTTAGATTTTTAAAGTGAAGTAGGCCGGGTGCAAACATTACATTACAGTACCACAATCAATCATGTTCGGACATATGGCTAAAATACATTTTTCATGAGCTTCTGTTGCCGCATTAAAACCAGTTTAGAGGGGCGCAGCAGGACAGAACAGGGGATATATTTGACCACCGCCAACTAGGAACCAAGACCACTCCAGACTGTAGCCATTGTTTGAGCAGGGAGTGGGTTCATGTATGCGCATATTTCCTATCATGCCGTGAGTAAAGATGATGGAACTGTGAGCGTAGGGCTCTGATTGGACAGTGGTCACCGTAACCAGGAAACACGCAACAGTTTCTTCTTTAAACTCGATTAACGAGAGGGAAAGGTTGTTTATCACCTCATCTTCCTCCCCTCTTCACACATTTACACATCGTTAGCTCACAGTCTGGCCATGCTAGCCAGAAAGAGGTGTTGGTGTTTCATCATCTTCAGTGGAAACACATTGACAGACCCCTCAGATGGTTCGTGTGTCTAGAGGGGGTTCGTCTTGTCGGGGTGTGTGAATATGTGCTGAGACTGGTATGTGTCTGGATGGTATGAAGACATAGACATAAAAACACTTAGGCTATGCGTGGGCACAAACGTGCACACACACACCTGGTCATCTAACTCTGCGCCAGTCTCAGAGAGGGAAGTTGGCACGCATTGCCAGTATCCAGCCAAGCAACCAAGATTTATACCCCCCTCTCTCTCTCTCTCTCTCACCACACACACGCACACAAATGCAGTCTGTTTCTAATCATGTGTTCGACCTCTGTTCCCTTTTAACAAAGCCTGAAAATGTGCTGTCATGTTGAGGAGCGCCGACTGCCAGCGGTGGCGAGAGCATCCAAATCCATGATGTCTGGAATGCTATCCTTACATTGGGATTCATGTGCATGTGTGCTTTGAACTGGTTTCAACAGGACTTTGCTCGGGGGCTTTCTGGCAATTAGGTGTCCTCCTTGGTGTGTTTACTGTACATAAAGGCAGACTGATAGAGGCTCAGTGAGAGAACGTGACTTTTCATTTAAAAAACACTAACAGACAAGCTATCAGGAAGGATTGTATTAAGATAGAACTGCCATACAGTCACGTCTGTGGCCAGGTCTATTAATTTAGCAATAATTGTGTGTAATGAATGGGTTGACAGAGTTGAATGTACAATCCTGTATGACAGTGTGCTGTATTAACTTGAATCAGCTTTGGATATTTTAGGAATACTTAGGTTTTTGAAGTGTCTTAAGGGCACAATTTGAGGTTTGATTTAGCGGACAAATAAAGCAGACAAATAATCCACAGGGCACAGACGTCAATTCAACGTCTATTCCACGTTGGTTGAACGTAATTTCATTGAAATGACATGGAAACAATGTTGATTATACCCCAAGGCACTCAGTCACATTGGTAATTCAAAGCTGTGCAGAGTGAAGCTTGAAAGCCATATTTATTTTTCAGTTGTTCAGTTAACAGCTATTTTTCATTAGCCTGTGTGCAAAAGCTTTTGTATAAAATGTGTCTCTCACCACACCTTACTGAGAATGTGTCAACACTTAACAGGCACTTTAGAGGCCATGTCCACCCACATTCAGATGGCAGAAACATCCACACAGCTAATGTAAGGTTGGGAGAGACTGAAGGACACTGCTGACTTGCAAAACGACTAACCTTACTTACCTTAACCCTAACCTTAAACAAACCCTTATCCCTGACTCTAAACTGAAATGAAATATCAGTTTGCAGGTCAGGAGTGTCCGAACAGCCTTTTCCTATAAGGTGAGTGTTCTGGCACAAATGGCCACAGTGTTTCACCCAGTTGGCTGCTACAAATTGGTGGTGAATGAGATAACCCAGCTAGCACATAATGTTCTGAGAACCATACAGTGGGGAAAAAAGTATTTAGTCAGCCACCAATTGTGCAAGTTCTCCCACTTAAAAAGATGAGAGAGGCCTGTAATTTTCATCATAGGTACACGTCAACAATGACAGACAAAATGAGAAAAAAAATCCAGAAAATCACATTGTAGGATTTTTTATGAATTTATTTGCAAATTATGGTGGAAAATAAGTATTTGGTCAATAACAAAAGTTTCTCAATACTTTGTTATATACCCTTTGTTGGCAATGACACAGGTCAAATGTTTTCTGTAAGTCTTCACAAGGTTTTCACACACTGTTGCTGGTATTTTGGCCCATTCCTCCATGCAGATCTCCTCTAGAGCAGTGATGTTTTGGGGCTGTCGCTGGGCAACATGGACATTCAACTCCCTCCAAAGATTTTCTATGGGGTTGAGATCTGGAGACTGGCTAGGCCACTCCAGGACCTTGAAATGCTTCTTACGAAGCCACTCCTTCGTTGCCCGGGCGGTGTGTTTGGGATCATTGTCATGCTGAAAGACCCAGCCACGTTTCATCTTCAATGACCTTGCTGATGGAAGGAGGTTTTCACTCAAAATCTCACGATACATGGCCCCATTCATTCTTTCCTTTACATGGATCAGTCGTCCTGGTCCCTTTGCAGAAAAACAGCCCCAAAGCATGATGTTTCCACCCCCATGCTTCACAGTAGGTATGGTGTTCTTTGGATGCAACTCAGCATTCTTTGTCCTCCAAACACGACGAGTTGAGTTTTTACCAAAAAGTTCTATTTTGGTTTCATCTGACCATATGACATTCTCCCAATCCTCTTCTGGATCATCGAAATGCACTCTAGCAAACTTCAGACGGGCCTGGACATGTACTGGCTTAAGCAGGGGGACACGTCTGGCACTGCAGGATTTGAGTCCCTGGCGGCGTAGTGTGTTACTGATGGTAGGCTTTGTTACTTTGGTCCCAGCTCTGCAGGTCATTCACTAGGTCCCCCCGTGTGGTTCTGGGATTTTTGCTCACCGTTCTTGTGATTTACATTTACATTTTAGTCATTTAGCAGACGCTCTTATCCAGAGCGACTTACAGGAGCAATTAGGGTTAAGTGCCTTGCTCAAGGGCACATTTACGTCATTTAGCAGACGCTCTTATCCAGAGCGACTACAAATTGGTGCATTCACCCTATAGCCAGTGGGATAACCACTTTACAATTATACTTATTTTTTTTTGGGGGGGGGGGTGGGTAGAAGGATTACTTTATCCTATCCCAGGTGTTCCTTAAAGAGGTGGGGTTTCAAATGTCTCCGGAAGGTGGTGAGTGACTCCGCTGTCCTGGCGTCGTGAGGGAGCTTGTTCCACCATTGGGGTGCCAGAGCAGCGAACAGCTTTGACTGGGCTGAGCGGGAACTATGCTTCCGCAGAGGAAGGGGAGCCAGCAGGCCAGAGGTGGATGAACGCAATGCCCTCGCCTGGGTGTAGGGACTGATCAGAGCCTGAAGGTACGGAGGTGCCGTTCCCCTCACTGCTCCATAGGCGAGCACCATGGTCTTGTAACGATCTTGTGATCATTTTGACCCCACGGGGTGAGATCTTGCGTGGAGCCCCAGATCGAGGGAGATTATCAGTGGTCTTGTATGTCTTCCATTTCCTAATAATTGCTCCCACAGTTGATTTCTTCAAACCAAGCTGCTTACCTATTGCAGATTCAGTCTTCCCAGCCTGGTGCAGGTCTACAATTTTGTTTCTGGTGTCCTTTGAAAGCTCTTTGGTCTTGGCCATAGTGGAGTTTGGAGTGTGACTGTTTGAGGTTGTGGACAGGTGTCTTTTATACTGATAACAAGTTCAAACAGGTGCCATTAATACAGGTAACGAGTGGAGGACAGAGGAGCCTCTTAAAGAAGAAGTTACAGGTCTGTGAGAGCCAGAAATCTTGCTTGTTTGTAGGTGACCAAATACTTATTTTCCACCATAATTAGCAAATAAATTCATTAAAAATCCCACAATGTGATTTTCTGGATTTTTTTTCCTCAATTTGTCTGTCATAGTTGACGTGTACCTATGATGAAAATTACAGGCCTCTCTCATCTTTTTAAGTGGGAGAACTTACACAATTGGTGGCTGACTAAATACTTTTTTCCCCCACTGTATGTTTCTTAGAGTTTGGTGAGAGCGTGGTTGTCCTATGGTTATTTTACATACACCCTTCCCACAACTTTCTGGGAATGGTGCAGGATAGTTGCTTGGCTTTGGAACATTATCAGCACATTTAAAGAACATGACAAAAAAAGCATTATTTTCTTAGTATTTCATTACTTTAACAGAACGTTTCCTAAAAGTTAAAACATGGTTACATTTAATAAAATGTTTGGTAATGTTCTAAGAATGTTCTCCAACTGGTTTGACATTGGGAATGTTCTCAAATTGTTTAAAGGAACGTTAAGAAACAATGTTCTTCTGTGGGAATTTCAGTACTTCAGCATAACGTTTCCTATAGGTTTCCTCATGGTTCTATTTACAGTCATGTTCTCAAATTGTTCAGAACATTTTAAGAAAACGTCCATAAAAAATACAAGAAAACATTAGTAGTGTTCAGAGAACATTCTAAGAATGCAATTTAAAAACAAACATTTTGTTCTCAGAACATGAAGAAAACTATCCATAAAAACAACAAGAAAACTTTAGTAGCGTTCAGAGAATGTTCTAAGAATGTTATTTAGAAGGGAGTCGCTCCTAATCCGTGACCGGATCTGTTATTTCTGAGGCTCCATATCCGTCAGGGCTCAAATTCTCGCAGTATCTTGCGGGAATTTGGGACTACAAATTTTCTCATGCTGAAACCGGATTAGATAC